AACTGACTATGATGTTTCCGTTGTTCTTCCTGAAAAGTAAGTCCTTAACTACTGAATAGAAGGGACTTTATCTTTCTAGCAGAGCAAACAATAAAGTAGGGTTTCTTTTGCTGATTAAGAAGGTAGATTGAGTAAAGGCATTAATTTAAATATTAAGCAAACAAAAACTGTGCAAGAGGATGTTTTAAATCAGAGTATTTTCAGACAAACCAAATAAACTAGAGATCACCTGCTTGCTCTGTACTTTACCTAATAAAGTTAAGGAAATGTTTTTAGGGTCAGCCTTTTTACTGTAAACTGATAATTAAGGCTGTATTGTAACTATGTAAGATTAGAACTTAAGTCTTTTACTTAGAATTTTCAGCATCTGAATGGTGCCAAGTCATAATTAATATACCACTTCAGGGGTTAGGAAGGGGTAACATCTTTGCAGAAGGAGTGGAGACAAAATAAGTATATTTTGAATATACCAAAAAAGTCTACTTTTAAAAAAGTATTGTTGAGGAGTATTTTTAAATACTATTAAAGAATTACTATCTGTGCAAAGTAAATACAAAGCATATCCATGTTGTTCCCTCTTCACACCTGCACTCAAACAGGCCCCTTTTTAAAACCCAAGTCAGCTAGCCCTGCTAAAGTTTCAGACTTTGTCTCATAGCTTCTCTGGAGCTGGATGGTTTGATTTAGCAATCAAAAATGTAGTTTAAATAGGTATGGCCAAATAAAAGTCTTGGAAATCATCACTGCATATTTCTATTTTAAATGAATCTATAGAGGAGTAATAATAACTTTCATTTTCCAGCCCTATCACTTATTCTTGGGAAGGTGGGAAGCTCATTTCTGAAAATGATGATTTTGAAGACATGATAGTAACTAGAGAAGACTATGAAGAACATGGACACAATATCTGTGAAGAAAAATTTGATATATAGGTAGCATAGTTGGATATGTTGTTATTCCATTGATTTACTTAGAATGGAATTCTTTGAACTACAACCTCTTTTCCATCAGCTAGGATTGTGTTTTAGCTTTCCTGTATTGAATTGGGTTGAGAGAAAATGTTAAGAGTTTAGAAATAAAGTTTTACAAGCGTAATACTATGAAGTAATATGTTCACTGTAATTTCATTATGTTTGTATCTTTTCTGATAGCTTCATTGTATTTTTATTGCAGAACACCTCATGAGGCATGAGGCAATAAAAATATGAAGTGCTTGTATTGGTGTGATGCTAATACACAGTGAGAAGAAATGGTTTGGTTTTTTTTTTCAAAATGAGTATTATTCTAACTCACTTATTCCACTAAAAGTGCATTAAATGTATCTCAGAAGGAGCCTTTGATGTTTCCTTTCCTGCAAAGAAATACATGAGTTTTATTTTTGGTTATTTTAGTCAGTAGCTACCAGGGAAATATACTTGAAATGTGACCAGTGCTATTGACAATATGCTTAGGCTTTGAGAAAAAAGTAATTTGAACAATTCATTTTTCTAAAGGGTTTTTAATATAGTAGGTTGTGGAATTTTTTGTTTGTTTTTTGTTTTAAACAATGCCCAAGCAAATAAGCTTCCTGTCACTCCCATCTTTCTGATAAGAAGTTGCCACAAAGGTGATGAACAAAGCTTGCAGCTGTGTTCTGAGTGATGACCCATCTGTGTCCTCTCCAGGCATCCTAGATAAACACAAACACCCCAGAACTTGTTATTTCTGGCATCAGAAGCTGTTACTTTGCCATCAGTTGTGCAGCATGGCATGCAGGAGGGAGAGGAGCCTGGCCTAAGAGGCAGAAGGTTGGGAGGGCCAGGCTAGATGGGGGTGCCCCGCCTGGCCTGCCTGCTTGCCAAGACAGAGACAGGCACTCAGACAGGGTGGAAAATGGACACTGGAGTGTTCTGTTGTGTCTCATATTCCCTTTCTCATCTGTCCTAACATAAAGCCAGTAAATATTCCTACGCAGTGCACTTACCTGGCTACCTTGCTTAAGAGCAACATCGAAGAACAGCCAGTGCTTCAGAGAGAGGAAGACAATCTTGTTGAATGTGGCTTTTTTTACTTTGGAAAAAGCTCAAGGTTGCTTTCCTCTAGTCTAACCTGCTGAAAGGAATGAAAGGAGTACCTTCCTCCTGCTGTTAGCAGCTATGTGAGCCACACAGGAGGCAGCTAGGGTGTGAAGGCATGAGACCAGCACCTACAACTTGTTGGACACAGATGGTATGACTTTGTGTAGGACATGAGTAAGTCTGGTACACTGTCACTTTGACAGCCACATGGAGAAGCCTTGTGTCCCAGCTCTGGTTTTTTAACTAAGTGCTTCATGAAAGTGTCAGCATACTTTAGGTGGGACTCAAAGAAACACACACATTCTCATGAAAGCACTAATGAACTTTTTGTAGGAGCAAACATGAATGCTCTGTGAATAGAAGCAAGCCTCCTTTGAAGGTGGCAACACTTGTGCTTTGATAAGACTGTACTGAAAAGTACCTTTATTAAACTCTTCACTCTGAACACTCTCTACTTCAAACAAATTCATACTGGCAATTAATTTGATAGCTGTATGCTAGAAATCATAAACAGAAATGAGTGACAGGTCCCAAGTTTCCTTAGCACATGATTGTGTGTCAGACACTGTTAAAAATATGTGACAGAACTTTCTAAAGTCCAATAAAATTTTTCTAATTTTGGAATTTAACTGAAAACCAGTAGTCTATAGTTCACCAAACCTATTCTGTGGGCCCTTAGATGTAAAATAACAAGCTTCTGTCAAGAGAAGATTAAAAGGCAAGTAGATCCTCTGTTAGGGTATGTGAATAAAACATGGCTCTCAGGAGCTCTTCCTTTCTCTTTCAGAACTAGATCAATCTTAGCTTCTTGTGCCACAAACTGAAGGGAACCACAGGACAGTGATAAACTGCTGCTCAGAACACTCCCTTACTGTTTCATACCTGGTTCTACTCCCCTTGAACTGCCTCTTCCCAATGAACACACTATGAAATGACAGGCTCATCACTTTTTATACAATTATTTATTACATTTAAATTACCACAAGAAAATTCTAAATCAAGTCACAAAGTGCAAGTTTGTTTTTTAACAACAGTTTTTCCCCAAAGCAATTTCCAGCCCATCCAGCCTACAAACTACCATGTTATCACCTCTGCCAGGTGATAACCTTATTACCAGGTTTAGTATTTTGAGCAAGACACAGTAAACAGACTGAAGTCAGAAAGAGAGAGAGAGAGATTAGAAAAAAAAAAAAACCAAAAAAAAATTAAAATCTCTTTCTTCTAATACTCAACACCAGAAGCACTTAGTCAGGAAATACTTTCCTGTTTACAAGTCTCAATAACCTGCTTCTGTATATACTCCCTCTTCTGGGAGAGTGACCAAAACCCCACACAGGCCTAGAAAAAGAATACATGGCCCTGTAGTATAGGGATTAGGGCATTCACCTCTGAAAGGGGAAACTTGGATGTTTTTCCTCCTCTAGAAATTATTTATTTCACACTGGTGAGTCACACTTAAATAACAAGTGCATAAACATGGATTCATGGGCAGAGATTTCAACTACATTCCCTGATTTCTAATAGGGCCAGGTAATTTAAATAAGGCTACTACAAATATGCAAGTTAGCTAAGTGCACAGGTAATAGGTTGTGTTGTTTATATCTTACAGTGCAACTATTTTAATTAAAAAAAAACAAACAGCACTTGTTCTGAGAAAGCTTTGGTATCCTGCTCACTTGACTGTATTTGAGCCTACAGGAGGATGGAGACACCTAAAGCAGCACACTCACAACAGAAAAACATAACTCATTAAATCATGCTTCTAGTGGAACTAGTCTAGCACTGGGGCCAAGAAAATGATAAAGTAGAGGATCTGTCACACAGGGAAGAGGCTGAGAGTGCTGTGATTGTTTAGCCCTGAGAATGATCACGGGAGGGAGTGAAGAAGACTGAGCCAGACACTTCAGCAGTGCCAGTGAAAGGACAGGAGGCAGTGCAAGAAATTCTGCCTAAGCACAAGGCAGCTTATTTTGGTTGGGTATTTTCTTTTTTATTTTTTGTGTGGAGGTAGGGTTCGTTTGCTTGTTTTTAAATACTGTGAGACTGGTGAAAGTCTGGACCAGACTCACCCAAGAGGCTGTGGCGTTTCTGTTTTTGTAGATACTCTAAACTCAACTGGAAAAGTCCTTGAGCAGCCTGCACTCATCAACTCCAATCTGGCTGATGATAGTAGACCAGAGGTCCCTTCCAATACCAAGACTTTGAGCCTTTGTCCAATACATGACTAAATGTCTGTTGCAAGGATCAAAGAAGTAATGTAACCTCTCACACTATATCACATATTTATTTATTATTAAAAAAAGGCTGACAGAGCATGAAAGAGAGAAGGCTTTGGGGTGACCTAATTGTTGCCTTCCTGTACCTTAAGGGAGCCTACAAAGAGACCTGGAGAGGATTTCTTCAAAATGTAACTTTTCCCCTGAATTAGCAGAGGCTCAGTCTGCCAGAATGGGGAGGCAGTAACAACAGGTTGTAATTACTGACTGCAAGCACACACAGCTCACCTGCCTAATAAATCCTTCCTGCTGCAGATCCAAAACCCACTGACCTGCTTCCAACACTTTTTACACACTTTGTACACTTTTACAATACCCACAGGAGTCATAACCTATGGTTTAAGATGAGATTAAGTTATTATTAATTAAAGATAGAAAAGATTAAAACCCCCTACTGATTATCAACACAAGCATGGCTCAGAACATAGATGTGGTTCAGACAGAAAGCCATGGGGTTGTGGGACAGATTGAAAAAAGTGCCAAACCCTGAACTAAAAGCAGCCCAAGCACTGAGCTGTTACTACTTACTTACAAATAATTAAGTATATTTTGCTTAAAAGATAAATTAGATTTAATGCTTTATAGCAGCATAGTAATTTTGATAGTTGTAGCTTCCTGAAACTGAAGATGTAAAGATGTAAGATAAAAGCATTTTTATGAGCAATTTTCATGTGCCTCCTTCAGTATTTTTAAAAAAATACTAAAAAAGGCTGTATTGAAGTCTAACCATTTGGAGTACAAAATTCACATGTAGTTTTACAACCACTACAGTAGACAAAAGAATGGTATTTTCGGAATTCTTTGATTAATTTCTTCTTTTGCTTCAAAGGAACAGTAGGGTCATTGTCTATCTCTTGAACCAATGCTAGAAGATACTGATTGGTTTGTTGCTTTTGATCTTCATATTCTTTAGTTGTAATGCGCTGACAGAAGGTGAAGCCTTTGAGAAATCAGAGGTTCAGATTAAGTTTCATGCATCATGTAAAAGCCTTGGTAAAAATTTGATAAGAAACATAGGTATATTGATATTTTAGTTCAGATGTGATTACATCTACAAGTAATGTGAAACATACAGCTCTCCACTGAGAATGAATAGAAATCTAAACACGAATTGCAAAAATAAAGTTGAAAAGCAGTGTTACAAGTACAGTATCATAGAAGATTCTGTATTGAAAAACAGGCCTGCAAGACAAAGAGCAAATACATTTCTCACACAGAAACAAGAAGAACATTACACAATAAGAATGGCACGTTGCATTTGTCAGGATCCAAAGGTTCTCTGTGACTAAATCAGATCTGTAGCAAGGCTCAGTACCTAATGCAAGGGAATACATACTTTGGAGAAACAGTTGCCTCTAAACCAGACTACAAAATTCAGGAACAGAATTTAGGAGCTTCTACATGAGTAGACATCTGAGCATGGTTTGGGCACCAGAAGCAGAGGTGATGCAAGAGGGATACTTAGCACACCTTAGCTATTAAAAGGTTGTGAATCTCTGCAGTGAAGTGCTACCCTGCAAGGACTCAAGTCCCCTCACTGGGCAGGTGAGTTCTGGCCTGAGGAAAGACAGGCATTCAGCTACTCCACAGACACTTTTCATTCCTATACATATTAGAGAGCAATTTGGTTCAACAAGTGTCAGTTGCCTAAGGGGAAAGATTGCTTATTAATCCTTCTTTACAAACACCATCATCTTTAGGCTTCACATGGAGAGTAGTATTAACCTGAGCTGTCAAGAGTTTTCATGTGGACATGTCCTTCCCTTCTTCTAAAGTAAGTTTGTCAAACTTCTATGGTTTAGTAGAATCAGATGAAGAAAAAAGACAGCTCTTTTAAAAGGGAAGGCTTAACAACTGACAAAGAGATTAACTCTTAAAGCTTCAGCATGAATCTTTACTTCTGTGGTTTCAAGTGTCTTACTAGATTAAAACAAATTCCAGAGTTCTCTTGCTGGTTTCAGTCTTTTTTATTTCCAGCAGACCTAAGGATTACTTTCCTGCAATTGACAGACCCTTTTTCTTACGTGGGTCTCCCAGCATTCCTTCCTGCTCCCACCTGGACTTAAGAAGTTCACCAGCTAAGAATGCTCAATAGCTCCTAGGAAAGATTTTGGAAAAAGGGAAAATGACACCAGCATATGAGGCACAGAGGAAAACAGGAATATGCCATGCCAGAGAGCTTACAATCAGATCAAACTATTTCAACAAGTCCATGGAGCCTATATGCACTTATAGATTGGAACCCCAAACTAGTAAGAAAAATGGAATATGGGGTCTGTGCTTCTGTTGTCTCTTCAGTGTGTCAATGGAGATCACACAGGCTCTGAAAATATTACAGACAGGCACCTCTTCCCACTGCTGCTCATCTCTGTATTCTTTGGCTTCATAATATGTGATTCTCAGAACACTGAACCAGAAGGAATTTGGCCTCATTCCAAAATCCAACACAGATGGTAAAAGATTCTGTACCAAACTACTTCTCCAGCAGCTGCTGTATTAAATGCAATATTACACAGCAAAATAACTTAGTGTAATTTGTTTCCCAAGGGATTTCTCTTCAGTGTTTAAGCACACAATGCACTGGCAATACAGGAGTCAAAGAAAATGAAGAGTCAGAGAGAAATTAAATTATTTAAGCCAACCCTATTAATCAGTATTGGCAGCAAGGCCAGACAGAATGTTAGTTCAAAAGAAATAAGCTGAAAAGCATTAACCCCACATACAGAAGGGTAGTGTAGCCTAAAAGGAAGGCATTTGACACTTGGTGCGTAAGTCCTAAGATCTTAATAAACTTTAAGCTTACCCAGAAAAAGAAGAGAGTTCTTCAAAATACTTAACAGTCAAAAAACCAGACAAAGTCTGTGCTCAAGTCATATATCAGAACCTTGAACTACTGAGTTCTGTGACAATTTACAGGTGTCTTGTGGCAAAACTAAAAGACTACTGCTCCTAAATACAAAGTCTCATCAAATTCCCAAACCAAATTAGAAGCAAATCACTTCAGGAGGCACATTTTGCACTACTATTTCCAGAAAGAAAATAGTACTGTTTTTTCTTTTTATTTGGTAAAAAAAAAAAGAAAAGAAAAAAACATAGCATATCCAAACTAGATTAATCAAGTCCTTGCTCACCAATATTCAGACCAATTTTGCAGATAGCATATAATTTAATATTTAGTGCATTAGCCACTAATCCCCCTAACGCATCACTTGCAACAAAGAAAAAAAGTCTACACACAATTATAGTCAACTGGTGATAAATTAGTTCTTATACAATAATTTATATAAAAAATTTATCCCATCATCTACCTGAATTGATATCTGGATCTTGCCCTTCTAGCAAACTCTGAAGTCTCCTACTCGTTAGTTCCAGAAGAGTTAAAGGAGCCTGAAAATCCAACCCAACAAAGAAAATATTACAAAAGCAATACTTCTGTATTTTTTATAATGTAAAGCTTTCAGATAACCAATTTAAAAACACATAGTTAAATGCAGAAGAATTTATGCCCACATTTTTTTGTACACATTTCAAAGTCTCTCACAGAATTGCACTAAAATACATAGTTTTACTAAAATAGATGTGTTTATTTCTGGCCAAAGAAATAGGAAGCAAAAAGTTCTAGGTGCTGTTTTCCATGGCAAAAACTGCAGTTTAAAACAAGCTGATTTCAGCTTTCACACAAGGCCCTCAATTGCAGCTGTCAGAGTGAACCACCATCCTGCTGTCACTGCTGCACAGTTCTGGCCCTAATTCCAGTGGGGAAAAAAGGCCCAACCCTCATGTCAGAGTCCTTAACACAAATTAAAAAAGGGGAGGTTGGCTGTGTACTAACGAATACAAAACCCTCACTAACCACTTAATGCTTTCAAACTAAAATGGAGCTAATTAAAAAAAAAAAAAAGTTCTCCCATGTCTCAACCTGAAGTCAGAAATGGAAATCAGTATGTTGTATAAAAATAAAAAACAGTACTTTACTGAAACCAAATTTCTGTGAAGCTTATTTTTAAAGGGTATGGTAAAGTTTCATCTTTTCACATGTGACAATATGATGAAACATAAATGAAGGGGATTATATGTGGATATTTACACAACTCAAGTTTAATAGAAAGGCTACTAGCATTTTGTGGTTCTATTTGTTTTCTTCAATTTAGAAGTTAACATTCCAATTTAGAAGTTAACATTCCAAAATGCTGAAGGATCTTTTAGAGTTGTCAAAGCTGTACACATACACTGGGGGACACGAGCATGCCAATTTTCTACCACTCAGAGTATGCCAGTGAACTTCTAAAGGAGAAAGACATTAAGATAGTTAAATATTTAGTAGGCATTCATTACCAACAAGGTGCCAAAATAACTCTATAAAAATTATTAATATTTTAAATATTTTCCTAATAGAAATCATTCAAATACAGAGAGAGGATATAATTTATAAAGGATTGCAAAGCTCTCAAAAATCTGTCCTGTATAGTCTGGAATAGCTTCTCACCCTGTTTGGCTGTACTATTAAACTGTAACAAATGGAACATTAAACAGAGTTCTCAGACTTGTCATACTCAAAAAAAAGGCAATTCATGGCATTTAACATTTAAAATGACAAAGCCAATGATGTAAGGAGAATGATACCTTGAAGAGCTCGGCGTGACTGTCCATCAGAAACCGAGTCAGCAGTTCTGCCTGCGCTCTTGACAGGGTCCTGTTTCGTAAGATGAACTTTGTACAAGTCTTGATGATCACAAATCTGTTCTCAAACTAGAAAAATAGTACCCAGATTTGGCATTAGATTGACTTACAGAGTGCTAGCAAAGACTAAGTACAACAGGATGCTATCATTGGGAAACAGATCACATGGAAAGGTAGTAAATGGAATACTTCTAACTAGACAAAAAATTTAGCTTTACTATGACAAACTGCTATTTTTCACATTAAGCAGAACAGACACTTACTTGTTTTTGCAATCTGTAGCCCTCAGATTCTGATGCAATGGCTAGGAATGTAAGGAGCCTGTGAAGTTCTTCACTGATATTTGGTGCTAATAATTTTAAATAAAGTTGTAATGCCTCCAGAGCTTGATCTGTTTTTCCTTTTTCTGTCATGGAGTAAAACAGCATATCCAAAGTTACTATTCATTTTCAGAGTCATGAATACTTATTTAAATCCCAATAATAATCTCAGTTTTGGGGGTGTTTCCTTCCAAACAAAATTTCATATTGTTCCAGTTATTAAACAATTCTTTTCTCAATCCACAAGTTCTCCTTTTTCCTCCACTACCAGGGGCAGGATGGCAGCAGGCAGTGAGTGAGCAGCTTTATAGTATTTAGTGGGCAGCTGGGGTTAAGGCACAACAACCCAACAGGACTGAAGAAGCAGCAACAAAGCCTATTTCAGTGGGATTAATCTTAAACTTGTATTTAAATGAAACCCCTCTGGTTTACTTGCATGCATACGATAGGAGGGTTCTTAATAGTCCCTTTTACAATTTTAAATAACTTCTATTACTAAAAAGGACCCTATGTCCATAACTTTAAAAACCTTATTCTGGTTAACAGGAAAAACTGTATAGCAATGATTTCAGTTTTATGTTATTACTTAGTAGTAGCAATAAGGCAAATTCTGACCTGGGGTAAGTAACTTTCCAATGGGAGTCGTTACATATCGAGTCACCCACAGAGGTTGGTGAATCTCTATCCTTCCAGATTTTCAAAATTCAGTTGGACCAGGCCCTAAGCAAAGGGATCTAACTTTGAAATTTGTCCTTGTCTTGAGTAGAGGTTCATAATAGTGATCTTGAGCATTTCCTTCCAACCTAAAAAGTGCATCTACAATGGCATTGCAAATGGTGTCATGATGTAGTCAATTGATACTTAATGACTTCCTCTACACAGTTTTCATCTTTATTTTTTGTTCCAGGTTGCTCTTACCTATAAGTTCTATAATTCCTGAATGAATATCAAAATCCTGAGCGGCAAGAAGAGAGTCCTTCTTTTGATTGTAATACTTCATAATAACATCAAAAAGAATCTTCTTGTATGTATTCAGACTGCTGGGGTTGTCAGTGCTTTCAGGTAACTGCTGACTAACCATCACTAGGAATTGGTCAGGAAAATACTCCAAGCATTCAATTGCAGCATAGAGCCATCTGTCAAGCCTGCAGAAGGAAAAGGTTGTTTTAATGCTTGCTTTAAAATGCTCTACCTATTTTTATTTTCACAGATTCATAAAATATTCTGAGTCAGAAGGGACACACAAGGATCATTGCATCCATCTCTTAAGTAAGTGGGATTGCATCTGTAACCCTGGTGTAATTAGCACCATGCTCTAAACAACTGAGCTATCTCAGGGTCCATTCAATCCTCTAAAAGAAAACTAGATAGAAATAACCAGGCAGGTAGAGTCACATATATGAACCACAATGTTGAACTGGTTTATTACGCAGTTTGTGTAACTTATTTCACTACAGCAGTTCCAGAACCTGCTCAAAATGGGCAACCTTCATGTTTTTCTGATGCTAAAGGCAATACACCTGAGACAAACCCAGACCAAAACAAGCTGCAATCATGCAGGAGTGTCACTGTCCCCAGGAATTCAGCTAGTATTTAAAAACCAAACACCACCCCCACCATTACTCCAACACACACATTGAGAACCCACTAGGGCTAACCAGGGTGAAAAAACCTGATCTTTACAGAAGAGAAAAAGACAGTTATTTTGAAAAAAAGAAGAAAATAAAATTGGTTAAATCCCAGAGGACTACAGAAGCGGTTGATTATATAACCTACTATAAAGGCATGAGTTTTCACAAGCATCTATTGTCTCTATATCTTAATTAAGGAAAGAAAATGTAACCTAATTATATACCTAAAATCCAGGTGTATAATTTATTGTGGAAAGCCAGAAAATCAGGGGAAAAAGTCCCAACCATTACGTACAGAATGAATATAAAATCATAGAAATGTGTGGGGCAGAAGAACAATTGCTTTTACCTGATTCTGGATGTAAAATAATTTGATCTGAACCAATGACAAGTTGCAAATATAATTTAAGATCCACAGAATCTTATTTTTATTATGGAGAACAGAAATAAAGATTGTGAAATTACAGATAAAAACTGAATTAATTTGACAAAAATAGTAATTCCTAAGACATTCACATGAGCCTTGACATATTCATTAGAAGTATATGCAAGATAGAGATCAACCTCAGTACACTAAACAGGAACAGTACAAAAGTAAGAGGAGACTTAAGGAAAAGAACATTGACAACATGCAGCCACATTTATATTCTCATTTTATAAGCATTCAGTGCTACAGCTTGGTTTCTTCTTTTCTCTTGCTAACAACAGATGCATTATTGACTCTGTATCTTCACACCACAGCCACCAGGAACTGTGACAAAGACTCAGATTAAAGTTTTCATGTTCTGATATCTGTTACAGAGACCTAAGAGTAAAGAATCTGATCTAGAAACTAGGCATGTTTACAACATTCAAGGTTAAAGTTCTAATGTTTACTTGAAATGCTCAAATGTCCAACTCTAAATACATACTTTTTGTGAAATCACTTAGCATTTCTGAAAAGAAGTCAATCACACTAATGGCACCTCTGTCTACAACTACACAAACATAATGATGTCTGCTTGTTCATTTAACACAAATTTTTGATCAAGAATAAAATAAAGCCTTGACTAACAAATTCATTTAACAGATATAAAACTTACTCGGGCAAGTTTAAGCTACATGCAACCTCTCTGTCCAGGAAAGTATTTGATATAATCATGTCTTCTTCTTTGCCAAAACTGTCTGATTTTGTCTTCACTGAAGACACCAAGATATCTTCTAGAAGGGGAACATCAATTAACTGCAGCAGTCGTAGTAGAGCTTGCTGTTTCCAGACATCTTCAATTACTGATACCATAAACAAACAAAAAACCCTCAGAAACCAGATCTTACATAAACAACTAACCTTTGTTTTTATTCACTAAAGAATCTTTTAAGTGTTCAAACAAAACACAGTAACAGAATAGTATGAAGTTGCTGTGCTGGGTAAGAAATGATCAAAATAGGAATGCTAAAAAAAAAAAAAAAGTCTCCCCCATCATATTAGGATTCAGAATAAACTACTCTAATTAGTAGAAGAAAAAAAAGACAAGTGAAAAGCAAAGGAATCACATAATAAAAATAATCTTAAGATTAAGTATTTTCAGAAATAGCACATTATGCAAAACCATAACCCGGTTGTGTTTCCTCCTGTTTATAAGCATTAACCCCTTTAACGCTTATTTAGATATTTTGTTATTAGCGACAGGTTAAATTTAGGTCTCTGTGGAGCATTGTTCAACAAAAATGGGGCACTCACTACAAGATACAGTGAAGAACAATCAAGTTTTAAAAAGAAAAAATTCAATCCTCACCTCCTTTTGAAAGCAGGCGAGTTGGTTCATTAACCATGATCTTTGGAGGTAAAGATGCATGAACGTGTATTGATTGAAGAAGCTCCTCGATCCTCTTTTTATCAGCTGCTTCCAATGCTAAGGGGTTTGAAAGTGTTGTGCCACACTTTCTGCTTAGGGAGGGGAAAAGAAAGATGTATAACAAATACTATTAGAGCACACGGCTTTCTGTTACTTACTAAATTGCTCTTAAATCAGAACTTTATGGCTTCATTATATATGGAGTCTATCCTGCTACTAGAATTCCTACCATCCACATCTGCTTCGTGGAAAGGGCAAGGATATTGATTCCAAATACTGTTTGCTAGTTTTACTTTGTTTACTGGCTTTCAGTAACTAGCTCATTCATGCTAAGTTTCAGATTTCAGCACAATTGATAGCAAAACCAAATTATTCCCAGGCTTATGCTATTGTGCCAGACTCTATTCCAAATAACAAATGGCAGATGAAAATACTTTACCCAAAAATACCTGGAAGCATCTACAATTCAGACATGACATTTCTCAAAAGTGGCACAGACTTTTCAGAAGTCTCCAACACCTGGTTTAGTCAGACATAATTTCATTTAAAGGTAACCCTCCTTAATTTTTTTTTTTTAAGAGTAAAATTAGAATAGTTCAGAATAACTCACTTGGAACATCGCTTTGTTTTCTGCTTGCAGATTTGCTCAGGAGATAAGCTTTCATTGTCCTTACTCTTTCTTGGAAGAAGAGGATCAAGACTGCTGTTTACAAATCTATAGAGACTAGTGTCCGTGTCTTCAAACTCAGTTTCCTTCCCATTCTTGAATAAGTAAAGCTTGGCTCCAACTGGCTCAAACACTTTGTGATCCATCAATGCTTGGCATACACGGACCCCCTTCAGCCGAGAAATGTCATTGCAGCTTAGGTACATGCTTTGCATAAGATGGCTCAGTACCACATCAACAGCATTGGAGCCGGTGAAACAGTTTCTGTATGTTTTCAGGTGTTGTCTACGTCTTTTGATTTCCACTTGATTGTGAAGGGCATGTATGATACTATTCCACAGCTGAGTTGCTTGAAAAGGACCATCACAGTCTGCAAAATGTTTATATGAAAGTTGTAGAAATTTACAAACCTTTAATACTTAAAAAAATACACTGTGATTTTTGTTTTAAATTTAAATAAAAAATCAGAAATCAGCTGAATTTTACAAAGATAGTATTTCATGACTCAGTCCTTCTCATAAGCTGACTCACACCCACTATGGTAGAGTCCAGAGAAGAGAACAAAAATCCACTAAAAACAGGTGATGAAGGGTTTTTTTTGTCATTGTTATGACCACATATATTTTATGTATACGCTGTGTACATACACATTAAATCATTAGAGAATCACAAAACAGCTGAGGCTTGCAGGGACTCCGGGGTCTATCTGGTTTAACCTCCTTGCTCAAGCAAGGCCACCCAGAACCAGGTTTTGAACATCTCCAGAAGCCGAGATTTCCACACACCATATAACAACCTCTCTGGGTATCACTGAAGAGAGTCTGTGTGAAAAATGCCAATCACTTGTTTTTAAAATTTTAAATTTAATAGCAATAAAATGGCTATAAAAATAGTAATACAATTAGAGCAATAATAATTTGGGCCATTTGAATTTGGACAATATGAGACAAGAGAGACAAGGAGTTACCGAAGTCTGGGTACATTTTTCTGGGCAGCACGAGCCCGAAAAAGGACACCTGTTAACAAAGGATTAACCCTTAAAAGCAATAGCCTGTTGCATATTCATATACTTCATACATGATGTATAAATTCCATTCAAACACAGGATTCTGTCTGGTCATCGCCAACTTCTTCCTCTGAATCCTAACAGCACCTTCAAGGCGGGAAGAAGTTAGTTTCTTCTGATAAGAGGGCAATAAATTCTTTTTCTCTGAAAGATTTAGGTGTCCTTTCTTTAAAAAAGTATCCTACATAGCATAGTTTCTATTTTAACATTTTTATAACCTAAAACTATATTTAACACACTACTTAAGAGAATACAGCACTACTTTCTAACACAACACATATAATATTCTCTTTAATATTTGCGAAAGCAAATCATAAAATACATGCATCTTTCACAGTCTGCCTCCATCCTCTTTGCACTCTTCCAAAGACACCCCCAAGCCTTCTCTTCTCCCGGCGGAGCAACCCCAGCGCTCTGAGCCCCTTTGGGGGAGATGCTCCGAAGCACCCAGTTGATCCTCACACACGGCGCCCAGCTCAGCAGACGACAAACAAAAGTGTTTGCAGAGCATTAACCGCGCCTGGCACCCAGCCCAGCTCTGCCAGCGCCGTGCCCCGTAAGCTCAGCTCCAGGAGCACGGCCGGAAGAAGGTCCTCTCCCCCCGTCCAGCTGCCGAGCCTCCCTAGCCCCGTTCTGCCCGCCACCCGTCCCGCCGCACCGGCAGCCGGGGGTGCAGCACAAACAACGGGGAAACGCCGGCCCCTCGCAGCCCGCTCCGCTCCCCGGCCCCTCCGACACTGCGGCGGAGAGACGGGGATGGCGCTCTTCGCCCACCTCGGCGCCGCCCGCTCCCCCGGCGCGGCTGCAACTCGCTCTGGCTGCGGATCCTCCTGAAGCGCGGAGTCAAATACCCCGCCATGGCCGCGGCCGGGCGGAAGCCGGCAGAGCGCATCACTTCCCGCCCGCCGCCCCCGGCCGCGCCCAGCACCGCCCCTGCGGGTCGGAAGTGAGCCGAGCTCCGGCCGCCCCCGCCCCGCCGCCGAGGCTACCGCCGTCACTATGGAGTAGTCGCGGCAGGACGGGGTCCGAGCGAGAGACGGAACCGGCGTGACAGGCGGCCCGCCGGGCCCACAGGGCGACGGGCAGCCGGGTGCTGCGCCGGCAGTTTCCGCGGGCTCAGGTGAGAGGCCGCGGCCCGGGTCGACAGCGGCTGCCCGTGGCCTGGTGGCGCTGCGCGGGGCGGGCAGGGCCGGCCGGCTCCGCGGGGCCGGTGCCCTCGGGTCCCGGGTGGCCGGCGCTGAGGGCTGGAGGGGAAGGGCCGCCCCGGAGGCTCGATCGCCGCGCGGGGAGCGCTGAGCTGCCCGAGCCGGCGGATCGCGGGTCACCTGCCGCCTGTGGCCGCCCCCGGCGCGCTGCTGCCGGCTGCCCCGCGGAGCAGGAGCGCAGGCACCGGCCCTGCGGCGCGGAGCGGTGCGAGTCCGCTCTCACTGGAAATAACAGTAAATACTTCACCCCGGGGGACTGGCCCGCAGGAGGCTGACCGGGCTTTGTGCAGTGCACAGGCTGGTTTCACCTGTCACCAGGCGACAGACAGAGCCTTGTTCATGGGTCTCGTTCCGTGGGATTTTGGTAGGGATTCAGCTGAAGCTCAGTACCTAAATGGTACATGAAAGTTAAGAAGGTGACGTGCGGCGACTTGTCCAGTGCTTCATTGCATTTGACCCTCTCGATGATTTTGTAACAAATGCAGAAGCCTGGCTGTGCTTTAAAAATGCTGGGGTTTTGTCATTTTATTTGCTGTGACTCAGTTGTTCCAGCACTTGCTTCTGTGGATTGATCCTGGCTTGGGGCAGGGGGATAGGATGCAGCTGGGCAGCGTGAAGTAGCTGTGCACCAGCCTGCAGGTCTGGGTTCCCCAAGGGGGATCCCAGCTTGTTATAGTTCAGAGTAGTGGTAGTACTGTGCAGTGTGCACTCACAGCCATACATCAGATGAAGCTGTGAATTAGTTTGAGGTTAAACTGCTGGGTTTGCATTATGCAGTTTTGGGGTTTTTTTATGAGTGAGAATTGAAAAATGGTGGACAGTCTTTGTTTTGGACTTCAACAGCCTGTATTTCAACATTTTGAAAGTTCTGCCTGCTTTCTGAGTGCAATGTTGGTTGTTGCTTACTACCTTGCTAAATGATTGTTCTCATAATGCTGCCGTATGATTGCTGATGTACATGAGTATAAAAACCATTACTGATTGTGAGGGGCATTCATGAAAAAACATATTGAATATTCAGAATTTTTTAGGATTAGTTCCAGGTTTTGTAGACTCAGAATCAGTAGCATTGATATTACTCATGAAATTCAAACAGGAAGAGTTCTTAAACATTTATTGCATGTCCTATGTTGCTTGTACAGACACTGTTATACTTCAGATTTTGCATTTGTCTCATTTATTACCTTTTAACTTGAAATGCAAATTTCATTGTGGGTGACTGACTTGATTGCCACTTGGTTATTATTATTTTTTTAAAAATACTAGACCAGTCTTAACTGAACAAACAAGTTTTCCTACAGTTGAGAACTAGACTTCTGTATTTCAGATGTGGTTAACTTGTCATGGTTTGTGGTATTAGAGATACTATCCAAACCAGATGTTTTTGGTGGGGTATGGATTTTCCAGGTACCTTGTTCCTGTTGACATATATAGGTTTTTTTCCTGAAGTTGGTGATAGCAATTGTTTTTATAAAGCAAAATATATTATTTTAGCTTATATTCAGATGTTGATAAGAGGATTTCTACAAATTTACAGTTAGGTAGATGTAAGCTTTAAACCCCATCTGCTTATTGAGAAACAAGTTGCTTGGTACTGCTTGCTCAGAAGCTAAATTAAACAATAGTTTGCCTACTGTCAGGCTGGAGGGGAACAGGTTGGACAGGGTCTACCAGGCTTGAATTTTAAATTCTGGCACTTCAGATACTGGAATGCTGTTGACACTCTCACCTAGTGGCTTTTTCAGGCTATTCACTGCAGTTTGTCTGTCACCCACAGCAGAGGACACTTCTGATTTAATGAATACTACCCCATTTTCCCACCATCTCTGTAGAGAAAGTTTCCTTTCACATTTACACGAAGGAATTTGAACATGCATCCACATACATTTTCTTAATAATATTTCTGCAGTTAATTTTGCAAAGTGTTTTAGAGTCCTAACAAGATGATGTTGCATTGATGCTAGAAAAGATTTGATGGCTGGGAGTGAACAAAACAATGGAAAAAGCACGAGATCTAAACCCAAGTAAATTAGATTTGGGATTATCTTAAACTCATTAGGATTGATTTTATAGTCTTTTAGCATATAGAGTTTGCCCACAGAATAGCTGCTGAATAAAATTGCTGAGAGCTGGAAATGCCTATAGATCATTTTCAGAATAAATATAAATAATGTTTGTGCTTATTTATTAGATTGATAAAAAGTTTCTTCATACAGGGATATTAGCCAGTGTCTTTATAAAAGTTTGGTGTAGGGCTGCACAGTTAGGACTTGCATGTGTTTTTCCATATCATGAATCATAAAGTAAAATTAATTTCTTGTAATAATAAAATTTCAAATACTGAAATAAAATTACTTAATAAAGGAATTCTGTGTTTCCATAATTATTTCAAGGTATGTTCTCAACAAAACACTGACTATATACCAAACAAGTTTGTAGTTATTCTTAAGAAAGATTGTCTTGTTGATTTCAGACACAGCTTCTCATATCCAAACAGTTGAGAAAGAGCAGCACAGCTATTCTGCATGCAGTGCTCCACTAAGACTTGCTTGGGGCTTGGCTAATACTGTTACACACAATTGCACTGAAGGGAATTGTCCCATAACACAGGGAACTTTTTAAACAGTTTTGTTTAGTGTGTTTATTACCTCTTTTACATTTACAGACCTCTATTACAGGTCTGTCTTTGCAATTACAACCTAATCAGATTATTTGTCCTGGTTTGTCGTGGAATCAAATCTATAGTACCAGGGAGAGAAGGAGTGCATGTCCAGGTAACTTCAGTGTGGTTGATTTTGGTTAAGTTTGGCTGAAGGATACAGATGTTTTTACATCTTACTTGAAAGAGAGACTGAAGAAATATCCCCAAGTGTTGCTTTTGAATATACTACACAATACTGATTCCAGGAAATAATTTCTTCTTGCATTCTCTTTTTCTTTGCTCACACAGATAAGGAAGCTGGATGTCTATATCTTTTTTTTCTGCTGTTTCTTTGCTGCCTTCATTCTTTCTTGTGTATACATTATCAGAGAAACAATAGCATAAATGGCTTCAGAACTTGTGTCTGGCAGAATAGGCAAGTCAGATTTATTAAGAAAATATAGAAAACTGTGAAAGTCCACACTACAGGGGAAGATGAAGTAAATTGGAAGCTGCCATAGTCTTTTAGCTCTGAAATTTGAAAGGTGATGTGAAAAAAGCTTCCTTGCACAATTTTGGTAAAGCATGAAAAGATGCTTCCTGTTTCCTTCCCATGCACTTAAGTATTAAGCTCATTAATCGTTGGATCATACAAATGGTAATGTCAGCAGTCTGATGGGCAAAATACTGAATTTTGAGCTTGTATTTTGAAAAGCACTGCAAAGGAAAGAATATTTCTGTTTTTTACTTGCTGTCTGTATAGTACACATCCATTATTTTGCTGACCTGGGATCGTAAGCAATCCTTCACCTCAGACAAAAGAGTAATTCTGTGAGCACTGGAATTAAAGGAGTCTGTGCTCCTTCGGATTTATTTCTCTATTTGATGGATACTAATACACAGAGTGTAAAACTTCCTGTCGGGGGACAGTTTACAAATCCTTTGCATTATTTGGTTACAGTTTCCAATAAATGCTTGAATTGAGAAGACTGTGAAACCTTTGTTTTCTTATCTTTGTAGGATAAGCCATTGGTGCAAACTGAAACCATGGAGTCCATGCTGAACAAGCTGAAGAGCACTGTCACAAAGGTGACAGCTGATGTCACCAGTGCAGTCATGGGAAATCCCGTCACCAGGGAATTCGATGTCGGGCGACACATTGCCAGTGGAGGTAATGGTCTTGCTTGGAAGATATTCCATGGAACTAAAAAATCAACAAAGCAGGTGAGTTATCAACTAAAGACCTGTGTTTATAAGCATTAGAGGACAGATTGATTGGTAGCAGTTGGCAAGTGGCAGTTGAAGTCTGACTGGACAGACTCGTGTTAAGGGTAGTGAAATGGCACAAAAAACTCAGCACTATTTAAGTACATTGTTCTCAGATATATATTGCTTTAAGTCTTTTGTCAGAGAAAGAAGTGGTTTTACATTCATAGCATACAATTTGGAGCCAAGATCAAGAATTCATCTGAGTTAAAAGTGACCTGACAATACTTTACCATGGGTTGGTTCCCCAGTTTGTTGCAGCTTGCAGCTTTTTTTTTGGTAACAATTCTGACTTTTTACAGTTTAAAATAACCATGAAGTATGTCGTCATTTGTTATCAGCAACCGACACTGTAGTTTTTTGCTCTGCTACCATACAGAAATTGAGCTGTTAGAAATTTTAAGTTATGAGATACTGTAACTGGAAGACATGGGATAGTGGAGGAGGTTTTGAAGGAAGTTACACTTTCCGTGTGCTGCTTTCAGATCAGTATTGTTCCTTTTTAATTTCCTTAAAGTATTAGGGTTTAGAGCACTAATACTCAAGCATTTGACTCATTTGAAATTACATGTATAAATGAATATAGGACTGTGACTTCAGAAGAAGGTTTGCAAAAAACAGAGTTTAAGAATTATTATTACAGAAAATTATTTTGTTGCACTGGAGAAATGTGAAAAGTCTTTTTTCAAATTCAGGGAGAAAATACAAGTTTCAAAGTGTAAATGAAGTGTTAATAAATTATAGTCTTTAGTTAAAAGTAATGCTAAGAAATGTGAAGTCACTTAGACAATGCAACAGGTTGCTGCAAATATGCCAAAAAGAAATGGACACAAAGGAATGTAGTTGGAAAATGTTAATACAATCTGTTAGATTATAGGCAAATAAACAGTAGCAAATAGGTATATATAATAGATAGAATAAATAATCTGCAAAGAATGTGTGATCTGATTCTGTGTGACAGAGTCTGAACAATGTTTAATCAGGTACTTTTGCCATGTTTTCATTTTTTAGCTGGTGCAGAGCTCTGTGCATCTTTTATTTACGGAATTTACCCAACATAGCTGTTCATTTGGGCTTTTTTTTGGTCTTACTCAGCTATACACAGTAATAACCTTGGAAGCATGTTACTTTTGATATGTTTTATATAATCTATGTGCCCAGTAAGCATTTGACCTGTAGCAGGCATATCCTTAAGGTCTGGAGAGTTGTAGCAAGTTTCTTTCACTGTACAGTTGACAGAGTATATGTAACTAGTTTCCTGTCAATCACCTTTTTCAAGCCTTGAATGGGTGTTCTGACCAACAGTTTTACAGAGTTTTAGTTCAGGTGCTCCATGTGGTCCTGCAATATATCTGTAAACCCTGACTAACATCTGTGCAGTTGCATGCCATCATTAGTAATTAAAAATACAGCAGCAGTTGTACTGCATGGAATTTTAGATGGCTGGTCTTTTGACATGCAGTTCCCATTAAGTATTAATATTACCAGTTAGGTAACACCATGTCAACATTCACTTTGCTATTGCAAAACAAATTGTGCAGCAATACAGGCTTATGGTATGTTGTATTGCAATATATGTTCTTTAACATTTTTTATTTCTCTCCCATGTACCTTCTGAATGTTCTTTGGGCTGGCTGTCATTTTCAAGGTGATAGCAGTCACTTTTGTGAAGTTGCACATATTTGCTCTATTACAAGTGTGTATATCTAAGTTGAAGCTACAAGGTTTTTTTGCAGTGTGAATTGTAATCAGACAAGTAGGATGTAAGACCTTGTTGTTGTCACTTTACCACAACACAATAGTTTAAGTCTTATAAGTCTAATAGACTTAATAGTTTAAGTCATTGTAGCCAGATAAAACAACTAAATTTGGAGGTTTTAATGTTACAGCAGTAGATCCCATCAGAAATCTTTGTTTTCAGGATTATTTTTGTTCCTGTTTTGAGTCAGTGGACAGTTACAAATATTCCATCTCTGGTGACAATAGATACCTATAACTTTATTCTTCTTTTCCGAGTTCTGCCTGGTTCCCGCCTTGCTCCTTTTCTAGGGTTTCTGAATGTTTATCTGTTATTATTTTTTTAATGTACCTTGTCTTTTCTTCCTTACTGTGTAGGTGACTTAGTAACAACCTAACAGAATGTGAGGAAATTACTTACCTGTGTGCATGTTTGTCTGGTGCTATTTCATAGCTGATCTACTGCTATTTGTCTGAAAGATTTATGAGTCACTCTGGTTATATATAGGTGTATAATTTCACAGTATGTATTTCAGCTCATCTTAGATATAACTTAGACTTTATGCACTTACACTTTTTTTTTGGCACAATGTGGCACTTGTCCTTCTGCTTAGAAAGTGCAGTCATCAATATATAGGGTAAGGTCACAAAGCATTTGCCAGCTCAGTTGTAAAGCTAGCAGAAATCAGAAGGTAAGTCCCAACAACAAGGCTACAGACAGTCAAGAGGGTCCTAATGGCCTTGAGTCAGCTGGTTAAGGATCTGAAGCACAAATTGTGTTCTCTACTGCCAGGTGCAGGGAATTATGAGTTTAAACAAACCATGCAGGATTGCAGCAAGCACTAATAGAACTTACTTAGACCCATCAGAAAATATTCAAACCATAGCTGATTTAAATACTTTCTGATTCTTTTCACTTGTCATCAAACAGAAGTTTTTTCAGAAGTGCAGTCTTAGTTTGAAATTTTGTTGTTGTTCATGTACTGCTCAGTGCATTTCTTCCATCCCCTGTTATTGCTCTTCTCTGCCTTGTGTAAATGTTTGATCCATCACACATAAAAGCTGGAGCAGGGAGCAGATATGGATGGAGGCAGGAAATAGAGGTAGGAAAAGTGTGCTTAGTTGAGTTAGTTACAAGTATTCACCTGCTAAGGGCTTAATGAATATAGCTAAAAACCAATTTTTTGTGTATTGGGCTGAATTTAATATTTTAGATAGCCTATTTCTGAAAGTTTATAGGGTTTTATTTAATTAATAATGAAGTTGTTCCTGTGAGATTTTAATTAGAGTAATGATTATAAAATGTGCAATAAAAGAACATTTAGTTCCTCTTGGGACTGCAAACTGTATTTTCATATTATTTTCTACTGCTTTCTAACCTTTATTATTATTCATAATGCTGTTGTAGCAGCATATAAAAGTCTGTTTCATGATGAAAGGTTTTAATTCCTTGTTTTCATCAGTTGATAAATTTTGACATTAACCACTTCCCAGATGCTGATGTAATCTAATTTTTTATTTTATATCGACCTCTGTAATTTCAAAGTTTCATACAGATTTCTTAATTTTCTCCTGCTCCGGTTGCAGAAGTTGGAGAGGATTTCTCTGTTCTTAATGTTTTTGGTTTTTTCACATCTTTAAGCATTACAGAATTCTTAGTGTTTTATCATGTGAATGGTCTGATCAGATTAATAGACTACTGTGACTCCTTTGTCTGATTGTACTGGTTTGGAGCAGAACACTAAGACAGGACTTGGTTTAATAAAGCAACACTTGATATATACTCAGAATATTTTAACTGTTCATAGTAGATATAAATGCTTTGATCTACTTAAAATCAGGCTGATTTCTGACTGTGGATCTGCTGCTTTGTCACTGTGTAGGTAGGGGTTGTAGTTTACTCATTACTGTTTATTTAATAAAGGAGCATTAGTACCTTAATTCAAAATGTCTGTTTCAGGGTTTATCTGCAATAAGGTCTGCCATGACTGGGACTAAGAACAAGTCAGTTTCTTTGTTTGGTTATTGTATTGGTGGGATTGTACTGTTGATTTAAAAACCACATTTGTATATAATTGTGTGTAGGCTTAGATTTTGGCTGTGCTATATACTGAGAGAATTCTGTTGCTTATTTTCAGGAAGTGGCTGTTTTTGTCTTTGATAAGAAGCTAATAGACAAGTACCAAAAATTTGAAAAAGATCAGATTATTGATTCCTTAAAACGAGGTGTTCAACAGCTAACTAGGCTTCGACACCCTAGACTACTTACTGTACAGCATCCATTAGAGGAGTCCAGGTAAGCTGTAGTGAAGTAGAGAACAGTTTCTTTTAATCATTGTTTTGGTAGTGGATGTAAACTGTCTGGAACATTCAATACATACATTTGATGAGATTCAAGTTTAGTGTATTTGTTCATATGACAAGGTATTCACCCTATCCCCATATTCCTCGTCCCCCACCACAGAATGCAGTTTGGGTGTGAATCAAATTAATAATCTATTGCTTGATTTTAGTCCAGTTGCAGCTGTGAGGCTACACATGACCATTACAGCATGAAAATTTGGTGCTTTAATTAATTTTGCTTTCAAAGAATTCTCTTAAAATAGCTTTCTCTCAAAAACTTTTTCATACATTTTGTTCCATGTATGACATGTATTTAGTACACGTGAAATTAGAGATTTTTTGATAAATTGTATGTGTTGTAACTAAATATATGTTGAAAAGGCCTTCAGGTGCCCATCAAGGAAGACAAAATTCAGCATGTTCTTCTAGTGCTTATTTGATTTATGAAAGGTTGGTTGGTCACTAGGAATGGTAACTGGTTGTCTTACAGATTTATTGTTCATCTGTAGGGATAACAGCACACTGAAATCTAACATAGAAAATCAAGCTTTTATGTTAAAATAGGAAGCTGATCCTGGTAATACCAAAGAAGATCATGGAGGTTTTAGGGTTTTTTCCCCAAAGAGGAAGGGGGTTGGACCAGATGATTTCCAGAAGTGATCCTATCCTAAGTAGCCTGATAAAGATTCATTATATAATGTCCTTCCTTTTTGTGTCGACTTTTTCCAAATGGTTTCTAGGAGCTGAGAATACTGTAGGAATGTTTCTTCATCTTTGCAATGCCTGCTTTGAGACAGGTTTATTGGCTTAAATTGCAATTGCGTATTCATATCTATCTTTCCTCCAGTGCTAAACACATTTCACATTAACAGTGGTTCAAAGCTGTCATTGCACCTGTGATCTAGGATATCCCTTACAATGCCTAAAGAAAATCAGTTAGGTAGTTCAACACAGCTCTCAGTACTCCAGAACAGTAAATAAACTATTACATGCTGAATGGCCTAGGGTCATCTCAAATTATAGTGTATGCAAGTGAATCCCAGAGTGTACCTCAGCCTTCTTCCTAAAATTGTCACAGGTTTCCAGTTGACTCAGCAACTTTCCCCCTGAACTTTGCCTTTCAGAAGAAAACACCTAGATTCATACCTTTAAGAAAGCTTTGGTGGTGTTCTTGTGAAGCGTTTAAGCCTTTTGAGTAAAAGTAACAGTGTAGTTACATCACAGTTCTTGTTTGTGAGTCTTTAGTAATGCCTTACACTTTGCTTCTGCTGTTTTTATTTCCATACTCAGCACACTCAGCTGCTGGTAGAAACACCAGAAGCACAAAACCTGTACAGTTGCTGCTACTGGCGTAACAGTTTTGGAGAAGATTAATAAAATAAAGGTTTATGTAGAATATATGTGTGTGTAACCTTGTGCAAGCATGCTGTAAGATGGCTTTAGGATTTCAGGTCTTTCCAGAGTGCCTATTCTTGAAGAAATCTCTCATGGGCGTTCTAGCTAGACTGTACCTGATGTTTCTTTTTCTTCCTTTTTTCTTCTTTTGTGTTTCCCCAAAGTAACATACAGTTGTAATGAACTGCTTGCAGGTCGCCCATTATATTCCTCCTATATGATGCAAACAGATACTTGATGCACCTGGAGGGCTGAAGTAGATATGGAAAGAAAGGCCATACCTTTCTGACTGTAGTGTGTAGATAGCTTTTCTGATATTAATAGAATGTTTCTACTAGAAATTATTGGTATACAACACGGTTATATTAAATATAAATGTACATATTACATATAATGATTTAAAACCTCTTAACATGCATTTATTTGAGTAACTCCTTATTTATACTAAATATGTAATATGAGTATGTTTATTTACAAATGGTCTTGAAGTACATTAACAGCACTGGAAAGCATTATTAATTTATATTTATCTTGTTATTGAAGAAAAGGATAAAAAAACAAATTGTGGGTTTACTCATAATATCATTCCTACCCTTTAAAAATAGTAGTAGTGTGAATTTGCCCTTATAATTTACTAGACATTGCATTTGTTACATTGTTCCCCTGTAGAAAGCATATGTATTTTTAGCTGTCACTTTTTATTTTTAAAATGTTTTTATCTTACTATTCTGACTTTCATGTTGATATTATTCAGGAAACTGTTAAGGCAGCTGCCCTATATGGCAGACATCACCTTCTGCAAAATTCTACTATTTAATTAGATTTACTGCATCCCTCCAATACTGTGCAATACTGTGGCTTGGGCCCTTTTTTTAATTACCTCCTAAAGTAAAAAATAAACAGCCATATTTTTATTCCCTCAAACCAGCAGTAATCAGAGAGTTTGGTATGAAAACCATGGAATAATTGTTCCCTTGGTGTTTTCATCTGTGCCTTAACCAGCACTAAATGGATAAGCTCTATGGTAAAGCTGAAGTCAGACTGAAAAGAAAGTACTTTGTCTTTCTATGTTCTCATTTTGAGTTGTGTTTATAACAGAAACAAGTTTTATAACCCTAACCATATTAATAGAAACATGAAAGGTATGTTATTATCAGAATGGGAGGGAGGAAACCAAGCAAAAAAATTGTGTCAGGTTGGCTGACACTTAGCATTCAAAGTATTTTACTTTTCACTTGTTTTTCTTCTAGAAAGGCAGTAGATATAACTAAAGTCTGGATGGATAGTAAGAGGTTTGCATGTTACAGTGGCCTTATTTTACTTCAAAGGTCAAGCTTGTTAATAATTGAAATACTAAAAAAATATGTGGTAGTTTCATGCTGAGACGTGTCTTCTGATGTTTTTATGGAATGATCAAAAAGTTAGGCTCTGTCTTCTTGCCTAGAACTTTAGATTAAAAAATATATCTTTGTTACTGTTTTTTGGTTTCTGTTTTCTGTGTCCATACTGATGCAGTATTTAGTGTTCTCATGAATTAATGATCCTTAAAGCAGGTATGTGTGCTACCATCCATGTAGTGATTTCTCAAAAGAATCCCTTTAAAACAATTAAGGAGTGAATTGCAATGGCTGTCCAGGGCCTCCACTGCTGTGCAGAGCAGTGTGAAGAATGTGGATGTAAAGAATGACTCTGTGTTGCATGAAGCTTGGGAAATTGAGACATTTATTGGTTTCCAATATATAGGACCAATTCTGAAATTTTGACAATGTTCCAACCAGTCCTTATGTATGGAAGTTTGCTTCTTCTGTTTTCAAAAACAATTGACACAAAAATGCATAAGCAAGACCATTAATTTTTCATGAAGAAAAAATCAATAAAATAATTAGAGAACAGTCACTTCACATGAAAACTGCTGTTCATATAACAAATGTATTTGTGTTTTGCAGATCTTCTCTATCAGTTGTCAAAGTAAAAGAATATTCAGGTGCTCCCTTATATTATATTAATTTAGTTTCTGACCATTGTCTGACCTCATTAAGTACTGCTTCAGTCAGGGACATGTGGATTTTAGGCATAGGTAGAAGTCTGATTTTACAAGTTTTAATAGTAATAAGAATTACTTGATCAATTTGTCCTGGACCAGGACAAGGAAAGCATTGTTTTTTAAAAAAAATTTATGAAAAAAAGTTTTGTGAATCATTAGTGATTTATTTGAATTTTAGAGAATAAAATATCCTAATTCTAGTATTTTTTTAAACTTCAGATATTTATGTGTTTCTCTTTAGTATAATATGAAAAGAATTCAAAACCTGAAATATAACATGGCTTTTGGTAGCACCAGGTGCTTTGGCAATATACTTGATATTTGTATGGTTCTTTATTTGCAGTCAAGAGATATATTACATTTATGTACAAGAAATTTTTTAATGCATTTCCTATACAGGGATTGCTTGGCATTTTGTACAGAACCAGTCTGTGCAAGTTTAGCTAATGTTCTTGGCAGCTGGGACAACCTACCTTCTCCTTTACCATCAGACATTAAAGAATACAAACTTTATGACGTGGAGACCAAATATGGTTTGCTTCAGGTATGGTACAGGTTGTCTTTATAATTTTTTTTGTGCTTTTAGTGTTAATGATTTTTTTAAATGAAGTCAGTACACTGCCAAAGTTTTGTCTGCCTATAGTAAATCAAATAATTGTGAGGTGAGAGATAATAGTGCCCTGATCTAAGTGTAAAAGAGGATAAACACTAGAAACTCTAAGGTGCAACTCTTTTTTTGATTGTTCTGACATGTAAAATAGAAACTTAATTTTTATTTTCCATGTAAATGTCTATGCTACATCTGACTCTTCCATATGTGAATCTTTCCTTTACGTTCTGTGGAGAACCATTAGCTCCCAGGTTTTGTTTGGTGAATATATTGACCAGCTTCATAAAGCATTTTTGTTCTTCTGAGATGGTGTGGCCTGAGAGGAGAGGGGAATGCACCATCACACTTATGCCGTGATAGTTAATTAACATGGGTAATCTCACCTGTTGATTACCCATCTGTGTTTAATTTCCTTCATGCATAATTTTTAAGGCATAGACTAAAATATGAAAAATTGTTTCTTAGTTAACTTAGGAATTTAACTGTGACCATAAGAACAGAATTTTGTAAATGTCTTACAGGATGTTTGGGGAAATATTTAACCTGAAATAATGATCTTTTATGAACAGGTTTCTGAAGGTTTGTCATTTTTGCATAGCAGTGTCAAAATGGTCCATGGAAATATTACTCCTGAAAATATAATCTTGAATAAGAGTGGAGCATGGAAAATTATGGGCTTTGATTTTTGTATCCAGTCAACAAATCCATCTGAACAGGAGGTAAGAATCTTTGTCTTTATCATCATTCAGTTTCAAATTCAGGTCTTTGCCTGAAACCAGTTTCATGATTTTGCATTCTAGTACATGGCCATTTATTTAATATTCACCTCTGTATTTTGTTGGCCAGAAGTTCGAACATATGGCACAGGTCTGGATTGAAGTGCTGCATTTGGTAGTCTCAGAAAAAGAGCCTGAGTGAGCTCAGTGGGGTCACAGTAGACTAGTGCTGGTTTCAAACAGAGGCTGGAGCCTGTGCCACTTCTGGTCCCCTTTATGTTGGATGACTTGCAAGCCTAACTTAGTGTGTTCCACTTACTCAGTGCCTGGCTGCTACCTTTGAAAATTAATTCCATCATATCTCATGTTTCCCCATTACAGCAGTGCTTTGATTTTACATTACGCTTCCCAGCTCTAATATTCAGATAAAACTGCATCAGGGAATCACTCTAAGCTAGACAGAGAATCTTTACAGTTTTGCCTTACTGTGTTGCTGTTTGATTCATAATTGAATTTGAGTGGCTTAATTATTTTTCGCTGCTTGAATTTCTTTTTGAAAATGGTCTTTAAAAATCCTTGATAAATGTACTTTGTTTTGCTTCTCATACTTCTCTTGTAGCCAAAGTTCCCTTGTAAGGAATGGGATCCAAACTTGCCATCTTTGTGTCTTCCAAATCCTGAGTATCTGGCGCCAGAATATATTCTCTCTGTGAGCTGTGAGACAGCCAGTGATATGTACTCTCTGGGAGCTGTTATGTATGCGGTATTTAATAAAGGGAAGCCAATTTTTGAGGTCAACAAGCAAGATATTTATAAAAGCTTTAGTAGACAGCTGGACCAGGTATTTGTTCTTTTTATGGTTATTGTTTGTTGATTTTCATGTTTGAAAAGTTACTACATAACTTTAAAATAGTAAAATAGATTTGAATATTGAGAACACTATCAGTGCTCCAACATAAACCATCTGACAACGGTATCTCACCCTGCATACATATAACAAGGAAAAACATCATAGCAAAATATGAGAAATAAAAATATGTTTAGAGGAGGTTACATGTACCAACTTTATAAACTAAAAATTGCATTTTTCACCTAATTTCTCTGTAAACCTGTTGAATGTGGTCTTGTGAAATTACATTTACCTGTTGGGCTGAACAGTATGAAACACCTGGCAGTGAATTACTTATGTAGGACCATTGAAGAGGGCTAGGTTTAGAGTGATTTGATCACTTGACATGGCAGCTGGTATCCACTTAGCTATCACCATTTCACATTCTTTGTGGACTGTGAGAATTAACAGAGGACAGTGTCACAGTTAATTGGATCAGCTGACACAATGTCTATTCATATGCAGGTTTCCTTTGTTGTAAGTGCTTTTGGGTGCCCATTGCCACACAGTATGTACTGTGTTTTAATGTTGGTAGCCATCACCTCAGATAATGACATTTGCCTGTTTAAAATATTGTGTTTGTGTTCTCTGATAACCTGAACTACAGTGGGAAGTTTTAAAAACAGAGATGGGACCTGAAACAGGTCTTGGGAAACAGAGGAGACTGTGATAAAGAAGAGAGGGATATCAAATGCATGGATAGAGAAAACATCAAGAGAATAACTGTTGTATATTGGAAATAGTTACATGCAGAGTTTTCTGACTTCATGGTGTTCATGCTTGAATTACTTCCACAGCTGAGCCGTTTAAGCTCCAGTACTCTTGAGAACATACCTGAGGAGGTGCGTGAGCACGTAAAGCTCCTCCTAAACGTAGCTCCAGCAGTCAGACCAGACGCTGATCAAATGACTAAGGTCAGTCCATGGAAAATACAGCAGCCATAGGAAAGAGAGAAATTGCTGCTTGATTTCTAGAGCTATTTTGAAGTGTTTTCTGTGAAGCATTTTATTTGAAATGTTAAATATTTTTTAACCATTTAGATGTAATGTTAGTTGATGCCAAAAGTTATCCTTATGCTGACATTTATTTGTAGGGAAAAAGTGGGTGCTGAGACAGAATTTAGAAAATTATTCAATTATTCAAAAATTATTCAATGCAACACTGTTTTATTCCTTTCCATTCAATTGGAATCCTTTCAGTGCTATGATTTTATACAATTCAATCTTTAAAATTATACTGGAAGGATTGGAAAGTGAGGAAATGATAAAGGGCAGTAAACATAAAGATTAACTTTTGGCTTATGATTTTTGGTATATTCCTAAGTGTGCAGAATAATAAAGTATATTCAGAAATTGTTCACCCTAACAAAGCAAAACTTAATTGCAAGTAGGATTTAATGTAAGTTTTAATAAGGCAAAACTGTTGCTCCATTTTCCTATATGAAAGTAGCATTGCTCTTCCCTTGTCTTATGCCCCATTTTCTCCAATCTGATAGCTTTTCAGGTTCCTGTTTATAGTTTTGTTTTGCTAAAGGATTTTATTATTTTGCTGTGGTGTAAAAAGATGGTATGCGGAGATGGGAATCAGTGATTTAACTGTTGAAGAAAACAGTGGGTGAAGAAGGGAGAGGGAGCAGGTGATGGTTTTGTGCACATATATGCTGAAAGATGGGAGTGAGGGAATTGGTAGATATTTCTTAGGTATCAGCTCAATTTTCTGAAGGACTACAACAAACAAATCCGTGAGGGGTTGTATTAAGCAATATGGTTTTATAAAGATGTTGAGTCTCTTTTACCACATTTGCACACTGAATTATAGGGTAGAGATATCATAGTTTCCAGGGTTTCTGGAGTTTCCAGGGGTGGGAGCCCAGATGTAGGTCATCCTGTGTTGTAATATAATATAATACAATACAGCATAATTATTCCTAGAAGAATATTTATTAAAAGTTTTTATTTTAAATTACATTTTTTGTAAGCCCCTTACTGTATATGAAATAATGTTTTAACTTAAATACATGTAACATGCACGAGTTTTTGAAAAATGCTAGGAAAATTCTGTCTTAATAGTCAACCTGTATCTGAATGTTTTACTACTTATGTAAAAATTTAATTTTCTGATTCCTAGTTGGAGACATCATTGTAAAAGCTTACTGTCATGCATTGAAAGGGCAGGTAGATGATAATATTTTGGAATTATTGTAGCAGTGTCAGTGTTGTCCCCCTCCAGATCAAAACTTCTAAATCTTATTTTTAGATACCGTTCTTCGATGATGTAGGAGCAATGACACTTCAGTATTTTGATTCATTATTTCAAAGGGATAACCTGCAGAAATCACAGTTCTTTAAAGGACTACCAAAAGTTCTGCCAAAACTACCTAAGGTATGTCTGAATGATGTCTTGTAATAGCAAGTTTGAAAATATATGAACATCTGTTAGCATTTTGACACTGGAATGCTGGACATTCTGTAGCATTGTACCATAATAGACTGCCATGAGACTGTCAGAATAGAGTAGAAGGAAATAAAGGGAGATTAGAATCTACTTATTCTGGAAGTATTCCTCAGCAATCAATAATACTTTAAATGGAAAATGCCAAATAAGCCAAATAAGGAGCCATCATTTGCATGTCCTGTTGTAGTTCATCCCAGTTTGAAAGGGAGCTGTCTTCTCTCCACTTAAGGCTTTCCCTGTGTTTCAGATGCCATCATTGCTCTTTGAAGCCAATTTGCCACCTTTTTTTTCCTATAAGATTGCTTCAAGTTTTTTCATAGCAAGGCAGTACTTTAATGTTGAATGATGCAAAGCTTCCTTCCCTCAGTAGACTAAGTGCTTTCTTGTGCTTGCAGTGCTCAGAAATCTCAAAGGCAAATGCCTGTCATTACATATTTCTCCTGTGCAGTGTTAAGCAATATGTCTAGACTGGCTCTCTTTCCTTTTGTGGTATACCTTAATTTATATAAGCCATAATGCATATGTGATAGAAAAGTAGTTTAATACATAGTAGAATAACTGAGCTTCTCAACCAGTGCATTAAATTTCTGTATTTTTAGTTCTGTTTTGCACTACACAGTGCAACATTTAGACTCCACAGTCAATACTCTATTCTTTTTGATTTAGTAATTTTTTTGGTTGATCAGAAATGGTTGGTGCTTTGAATTTGGAAATAAGTGGCATGTATTTCACCTAACTTTAGACAGCCACTGATTGATCAAATAATCTTTAGGGCATTCTTTTTATATTTTTTTTCTGTCTTGAAAGTATATTTTATGAGGGAAGTGACTATGCCCTTGAACCATATATTTCTGTTTATTGACTTCAAGAGCATTTAAGGATGTCTAACGCTACAGTAGACATCCACAGTTTTAATAGCTGTTTTATCAGCAGAATCCTAGTTAGGGAATGTGTCTGGAGTTTTGCAGGAAGGTATAGTAGGATTATGTGTTTGTTCAGTGAATGATGGGGTTCAGAAACAAAAAATGACTAATTTGGAGGGTTTACAGGGTATTTTTAAGGGTCTTCTTAGGGTATTTTTAAGAAAGCATATGGAGCATGATTATCATAACTCATGTGTGGCTCAAAGTCCTATTTCCTGTACCATTAATTGCTTTTTGTTGATCTTCACAGTTGTTAATTTTGACTGCAAACAGAAAATTAAACAGAGTAGCACAGTGTAAATTAACTACAGTGTACTCTGCCAATAAGTGATCAGAACTAAAAATTATCTGTCTACATTTTTGTAAATACCAGGCTAATACAAAAGCTGCTGAACTGGCACAATGAAAGCTGCTGAACTGGCACAATGGTAACTTACTGCAGTGCAGTACATGATTCATACTTGGGTTTTTTTTCCTTTTAGCGTGTTATAATTCAGCGAATTTTGCCTTGCTTGACTTCTGAATTTGTGAATCCGGATATGGTACCCTTTGTCTTGCCTAATGTTCTCTTAATTGCTGAGGAGTGCACCAAAGAAGAATATATCAAACTCATTCTACCTGATCTTGGTCCTGTTTTTAAGCAGCAAGAACCAATCCAGGTGTGTTAATATTATTCATATTATAATTTTTACATTTGTTTTTGTTTTCCCTGAAAAAATGACTAATTGTTCTATTTCCCTTTTCCAGCTTCACACGCATTGCCCAGTCTCCTCTGTAATTGTCCAGGCAATCTTGATTCATTCAAAATAGATTTTTCCAGGATATTCTCAAAGCCTCTACCTTTGCTTGTTTATATGAGTTCTGAGGGTATATTGCATTTATAGATGAGATGAGATTTGCAAAAAAGGTTTCATTTACCACTTGGTTTTGGTTGATTGTAGGAGATATATTTCTATGCATGTTAACACATATCTTGGCAATCTGAGCAGGATTGTATAGTACAGTTTGCATATATTCTACCAGTAGATGAACCTGGGGATTTTTGAGTTGGGTTTTTCTTCTATCCAGTTTGCTGACATTGGGATCATGGGGTGGAAAAATTGTAGCATTGACACTCTCCAAGAAGTGCTCTTTATTCATATTAAGAGTAACATTTGTTTGAGGACTGTGCAAAAATATATGAAATTAATTTCATTTTTATTTGGCAAATGTAATGGGTAAGTAAAATATGCTGTTTTCTGTGCTGTTTAAATGTATAACATTAAGACATAGTCGTTACTAAAAAGGAGCAAAAATTTGCATCCTTTTGTCATCACCATGATGATTCCTGAGAAATCTGTTACAAAGTAGGGCATTGTGCCTCCACAGATGAGAGACAGATCTGCATTCCTTCTAGCTCACTCCTGTGTGCCATTATTTATCTGCAGAGTACTGAAAGGGCAAGGTAAACATAGCAGACCTTTGATTTCTGGGTTTCAGAAAACTGGACCAGAGAAGTGTCATTACACTGTGGAGGCAGGGAAGGAGGCACCTGTCTGAGAATACCTCAGGAAATTTGAACTACTTACTGCTGTTTATACTTTGTACTCTGAAGCTTTATGTTAGTTCTTTTGTCTTGAAAAAAGTCAATGTTTAACTAACCAAAAGCCAGTGAACATCTCATTTGTGCAATGTTATCCTAAAAGGTAAATCTGTGTTCTGTTGCCTTTAGCATTAGATTTGTGACATAATCCTTGCTGCAAAAAGTTTGTAGCAAAGTTACATCTGGAGCATAATGGACACAAAAGCCGGTTTGTATCTTGAGACATGAAGGAAGCAAAATACAAACTTGGAGTCAACTCATAAAGACAGGTCTTTGCAAAGCTATTCTGTGACTATCTAGACACTATTGTTATGCTGGTATTTTTAATGCAAGTGCTGCATGGCTTATTCAACTATTACTATTTCTATGGTCTTTTTAGTATGGCAAAGTTGAAGTAATCTAGGTCATGTTTTCAAAGTTAATATATCAGGAATTCTGGAAAAAATTACAGAGGTTCAGAATGCCAGAGGATAGTCACACCTGGAAATCTGTCTTTGTACAATGCAGAAATGTCTGGTTTCTGTGTGCTTCTAACTCCTGGAGAAGGGCATTCAGGGAAGATGCCAGGGTTTCTTCCAAACACTCTTTCAAGACGTTACAGATTTGTATGAGGGGCCTGTTGCTTGACTTTAGTAGGATATTCAAATTAGGAAATGAATGATCATAGGAAAGCTGCTCTAATTCAATATGAAGAAGGTCAGGTAGTGTTCACAATGTCTTTTTGTAAGGGAATTCATCATATGAAAATGGAATATTTAGATTAACTTGTTCTTGTGGTTAGTGTGGAGTAATGTGTGCTGTATGTTAACATCCTGGCTTACTCTGACATAGCTTCCCAGACAATCCCTTAATTTGTATCTATAGGATTCCATAGGCAGCATAGGATGTGCTGTAAATTCATTTTCTAATTCACTACTCAGAAGTGGTCCCTGACAAGTACTGGGCTCTGCATTAATGAATGATGCATTGTTACTTAGAGTGCAGCTGCTGTTAATTGCTTATTAAATGGTGTGTGTGAATCAGTACCTTCTTAATTTTTACCTAAATAGATAAAAAGTATCAAATAGAATCCTAGAAGCTTAAACATAGAAACTGTAATTCCACATTACATGGTTAGGGTTGTTAGAGAAGAGCAGATGTTAAAAGAACACGTAAGGCTTAAAAACTCAAGTTTAGGACAAAGATTATGTATTGAGGAAAACCATAAAATTTAGCTTTAAAACTGATCTCGTCCATTTCACCCTGTTTGTCCCAAATATGGGGATATTACATCAGAATCAATGTTCATGGAACAAATGAATGGATTTGTATGTGTGTCTGTGCAATTTGGGAAATTATACATTTCCGACAAGAAATAACACATATTAGCTGCACTATAAAAATCTATTTTTCTTCTCTGTAAAGAGAAGGTGGAATAAATAAAAGGAGAAAATTTGTAATGGGGTCTTGCTACATTTCTGTTTCTACACTTCAGTGCTTCTCTTTATTTGACATAGAAGCACTGATTGCCATGTATTTTTAGACAAGAATGTAAGTGTTCCAATAAAATACTTGGCTTTTTGTTAAAAATGTGATACTTTTAAACATAATTTATCCATCAATTTATCCAAATAGTTTAACCTATTTTCTGAAAGGAGTTCTGCTATCAGTGGATGCTCAGTGTCCCCTCTAGCACCTGTCCGAGTTGTAATATGAATCTTGTGGTTTACACAGTGCTCTGTATTTGAGACTGAGCTGGCTGAGTGATTTAGAATAGTGTTTAACCTTTAGATGGCTAATCTTAAGCAAGATGCATCCCACTATGCATATGTGCTATTCTAGTTTTTAATGCAATGTGAATATTTTATTTGAGTTTTTTTTAATTTTAGGATACACAATTTCCATGTTAAATAGAATAAAGGCTTATTTGTCCATATAGTAGCCATAATATTGTTTTTATTATGTCCCTATTTTGATTTTAGACACATGAAATACAGCTTATATATGTGGAGTTGTGATCAAGTGCTTTGAAGACAGAATTTGAGTTACAGGTTTTTGGAAGTTTGGCTTTTGTAACAGTGATGTGTGTATAAAAATCTTCCGGGGATGTATATTAATAAAAGACCATAAAGAGAAACAAGAACTATTTACAAGTTCTTGTAAGTAGAAACAAGAACTCCTTACTGAGTCATTATAATTTCTTATTTCTTATAAGAATCAGTCTAGAACATGCATATTTTGTTTGATAATTTGCTGCTTTTAAAATGCAATAATATGTCAAAGTGTTTTTTGTCTTCCATGCCTTCAGGCAAGCAACATGGTAAGTGATCATATTTCCTGAGTTATAAGAAAAATTCTGAAGTTTTTTTGATATGATACAACACACTTTAAATTGTAAATATATCCTTTGCAGTTAAAACTTTTGGCTTCTGAATTGTCTTTCTTTGAATAGATATTGTTAATCTTCCTGCAAAAAATGGACTTGCTTCTAACCAAAACTCCACCGGATGAAATAAAGAACAGTGTTCTGCCAATGGTTTATAGAGCCTTGGAAGCACCTTCAATTCAGATCCAGGTATAATAGTTGCAGCCTTTATTTAAAACTTTCTTTTTTCCTCATTCAGCTGACATGCCAACTTTTTGTATACTCATACAAAAAGTTTTGTAAAAACTTGTTTTGTAAAAAAGTGTTTACTTAAAAAAAAAGATAAAACTGTATAATATGCCCGAATGTTGAAAGAGATGAATGCTTTATTAAAGAATATTTATTTCTATTAATGTAAAATTTAGTTTCCTTGTTTTCCAGGAAGGTAACCACTTGACTGTTATTCTAATGCTCTTATCTTAGATTCCTACTAGCCACCATAGCAGGAAGTAGGATATGCATTTATATTTCACTGCCTGTGCAGCAGAAACCATGCAGGCATGCATGCCTGTACCAGTCAGTGAGAGGTGGCTGATTCTGAGCTCCTGCTGGTGAGAACATCTGTGCTGACAGTTACCTCAGGAGACCTGATGTGCTGTAAAGTCATATTAATCTGCATTCTAGTGACATTTTTTTATATATCCATGATTTTTTTTTCTCCTTAGCTTTCTCTACTTTTCTGAGGTTCTTCTGGGGATTTTTTTTTTAATCATTCAACTGCAATTAACTTCCAGTTACCCAAAAACGTTCAGGAGAGGGAGATAAAGAAACAAAATATTTCTGAAAGGCAGTTTTGGATAATCAGATGTGACTTTGCCTTTGCAAAGCCTTTGTAATATTAGGGACAAAGGTTTTTGTTCCTCTATATCTGTCATGAGTTTCTTTCTGCATCAGTACTTTGGTTGCTGAGGTGTTTACTTACAACATATACTTAGTATTACTGTCTCTTTTTTTTGAGATTGGTCTGAAATTATGTGTTTATTTTTTCTCTGTTGCTAAAGGATGGTTAGTCCTGACATGATATTTTATCATTCAGTCTATCATTTTACTGCAGTATTATTGATAATGTATTGATTTGATTTATCATATATATAAATCAAGAGATTGGTAAGATTGGTGAGAGATTGGTAAGAGATTGGTAGTTTGGTGTAGTAAAAGCTGGGTTTTATATAAAGGAGCCTCATGAAAATGCAAGATATTCTTGCTGTTTAAATATTATGAATTTATGAATGCTTTTTTTCTAAAATCCATTTTTGAAGATTCTGTATACATACCATGATGCTTTATTATTATAGCTATTTTAAGTGAGTGTGATAGATTAAGGGCAGGTTAGTTGAAAAGATTTCCTTAAATATTTCCTTAGGAGGAAAGCCTAAGAAGACATTTCAAACTAACTGATATTGAGTTATATTAGTACTAATTTTATAATAAATATGCATGTTTCTTTTTAAACTTGTGTGGTTTTGTTTTTTTTAGGAGCTTTGCCTAAACATAATTCCCACGTTTGCCAATTTAATAGATTACCCATCAATGAAAAATTCATTAATTCCAAGAATTAAAAATGCATGTTTGCAAACTTCTTCTCTTGCTGTGAGTATCATAGTAACATTCTCTAGTGTTCAGAAAATGTAACCTTTAATTATTTTGGGTTTACCATGTTGTGTCTTTAAAGAAAAGCCAGTCATTGTGTTCTGATTTCTTACTGAATTTTTTTAAAAAAACTTCTTAAAAGTGCAAAAGCATCATTTCTTTGCTCTAACAATTTTTAAAGTTGTTAACAACTTACCATGTTGGTAATAGTGTAAAAATCACTGAACTGAGTTCCACAGTAATACACATTGACAGTGTTTGTCATGCAGAAAAGCTAAGTTTTTGTGAGCATAAAAACAAGTGTTTTTCTTTCATGATACAAAAGCATTTTTTAACTTGTCTTGAATTTTTCAGTACAAAGATTATCTTACGAGTTTTGTAAATTTGTTTTGTTTTTTTCCTATAAATAAAGACTTTGTTTAATTCTTATCGTACTTCACAGGTCCGGGTAAACTCACTGGTGTGTTTGGGCAAGATTTTGGAGTACTTGGATAAATGGTTTGTGCTTGATGATATTTTACCTTTTCTACAACAAATTCCATCAAAGGAACCTGCAGTGCTCATGGGAATTTTAGGTAACTAGTACTTCCAGCTGTCTCTTTTGTGCTTTGATATTGTAAATCCGAGTTTTCTGTGTTACCACTGAACATGTTTACATAGTGTATCCCTAAAATGGCTATTAAAACCTTTCTGGTTCTTGAATATGTCCCTGTTCAGTTACTTTATGTATGACATTTGAGCACTAGTACATATATTTTTAGTCTTCAGGGCCCGGTGCAGTTCTGAGTACTCACTGCAGTTCTTGGGCTGTGACACTTACACGGACTGGGTGCTCCACAGAGTCAGAGGGGCTGTTTTCTTCAGAAGAATATATGAACTGTCATCTTTCAGATGCTGGAGCTTTTGACATGTTACTGTTGCCTTCTTTTACCACTCTTGCATAGCAGATCCTGTAAATGATGGTGTACAAATCTGCTGTTCCTTACTGCAGGTTTTGTTAGACTCATTTTGTTGGATATTTAGGGACACAGTTGTGCCTGTGGGCAGAGGTGGGAACACAGTCTGGGTGAGGTCTCCCAAAATGACTAACAAAACCAAATGATTTGGTACTTCGGGGAGGGGAGACCTCACTCCCACTTGAGCTTTCCTACTGCCACTTGGTGCTTGCCTTTCACAGGGTGTGTGATTTTAGCAAATTGAATGGGCTTAAGGAGTCCAGATGACCAGAGCCACTGCCAAGGAAGAGTTGTGACTCCTTGGCCAAGTCTGGAAGACAGTGACTGTTTCCCTTCCTGACGTCAAAGTGGTGTAGACCCATTGTAACAGCTGAGCTGCACTGCCAGTAACCCTCATTAAACACTGTGCTCATATGTGATGGCAGCATTATTTTATTTGCTCAAAATAGCAAGAAGACATCTTGTCTGTACTGATCTAAAGCTGCCTGTTTCCCTTAACCCTTGCAGCTTTTATTTTTATTTGCTATCTAAGAATAAGGGACTCTATTTTTTGCTTTAGTTCTGTTAATTCTGAATTCTACTCAGATACAGTGAGTAAGTGAATCCTGGTTTGGAAATTATGGGCTGAAATCAGCAGGCTCTCCTTTCTTCCAGAATCATAATACAATCCTTCACTGTCTTTGTCTTGGTGACAGCTCTGTTCTGCTACCATAGAAAGTGAGGAAAGCTGCTCTGTCTTTTATGCTAGTATGTTCAGTGTTTGCCACCAGAACCTGGACTATTTAAGCAGAGGACTCTTCCTCTCAGAAACTCTACAGAACTTTTGGGCTTAACACTCGGTCTCTCATGCCTGCCAGGGTTTTTTTTCCAGTGAATTTGAAACAGATAAAGATTATGCATGAGTTCTGATACTATGTGTAACAGTCCAAAACTTCTAATTAACAGTTTTTGTAAAAAAACCATCAGAGACCAGGATGATAGTTAATCCTAGCTACTTGTAGTGAGCAGGAGAGAACATGTCCTTAGTTGATGCAGCTTGTTTTCTCAAGTGGCAGTGTGTCAGTTTGTGGCAAATTGCTTGCACATCATCTATTCAGAGCTGCATATTCTCAGATAATTGGCCAGAACAATACATTCACTAATATCAGGTTTCATAGCTGCAAAGTATGTCTTTGGACATGTTATTGTTCTGAAGCGTAGCAAAGCCTCTTGTTTGTTGTGGATCAGTACTTAGCCTTTAAGATCTCTTGGTCACGTTTGTCCCTGCTTGCACACAAACACAGTGCTTGCTCAGATGATCAATACATATATGAGTGTGCTACTTCGAGTTTGTTCACATTGTTTACTAAACAATTTCTCCTACTTTGATGTTCTGTGTCAGGTATTTACAAATGTACATTTACTCACAAGAAGTTGGGAATTACCAAAGAACAGCTTGCAGGAAAAGTATTGCCCCATCTGATTCCTCTTAGTATTGAGAACAACCTTAATCTCAATCAGGTAGGAGCACAACTGTTTTGCATGCTTTTCCTTGACAATTATCTGAGAATAAATTTAAACTGTTGTCATAAATTCATTCATTACTGCATGTCTGTGTCTATTGTGAAAATAAGCAATAGAAAAACCCTTCCAATTTTACTGTATTTCTGTGTTTGAAGCTTGTTATTTTTAGTCTATTTAACTGATCTGGTGTAAAATTTCAAAATTATTACTGTCACCTTCCAAATACCCTGCAAAAGCAGTTAGCTACTAACATAATAAGTATTAAAATAAAATGCTGTGATGCTATGAAATATTGGGAAAGGGAATAATAGGATGGTTTATTTGTTTGAAAATGAATCTGGTAACACTCATGTAGAGGTTTTGTTTGCATTAGCCCATTTCAGTTTTTTTAGTGGCATGTATTTTTCCGTGTTTCACTATGCACTCTGCTTGTAATTTGCTGTCTAATGCACGAGAATGAAGGTGGAGTATAAATTATTTAAAAATCTACACTATCTTACATTGTGTATTGTGGGTTTATGAGGTATTACCTGCTAAGTTACACCTATCTGAATTCCATCACTGCAAAATCCAAACTTCTTATGTATTTCTTTTCCAGTTCAATTCTTTTATTTGTGTTATAAGAGATATGCTCAATAGATTGGAAGCAGAGCATAAAACAAAACTTGAGCAACTTCATGTCATGCAAGAGCAACAGAAGTAAGTGTTAATGTTTTGTGTTGGAGAAGTAGTCATTTTTTGGCAAATGTTAGAGAACTCTAGCCATAGCAATAAAAAAATCAGGTAATTCTAAGTTCAGTAGTTGAGAATTATCTCAAATAAGCACAGTTGGCAGAAGATCCGCTTCTATGTGCTAAGCTGCTTTCCTGTAGTTGCTGAGAAATAAACCATATCAGAGAAACATAAACATTGCAGCCTTTTAGAAGGCTGGGATATTTTGAAGTACTTGGAGCTATTTTATGGAGCCTGATATGAAGTGAGATTTCTGAGACAAAATAATTTGGGATACCTGAAGTCTGGATCACCCTCCTCAAAGGGAGAAATGAAGACCATGGGAGATTATTAGGAGGTGTTTGCTACTTCTCAAAGGAATATTTGCCAGTCACCTGAAGGCATTATATAAAAGTGGTTGCTCTCAGTGCAATTGTTTGGTATTATTTAAATGCAGAAGAATGATCTGCATTGTTAGATTGATGTTATGGATGTGATTGCAAAGTTGTCTTGTTGTAATATACTCTGCACTGTGTAGATCCTTGGACATTGCCAACCAAATGAGTGGGGCTGAAGAGGCAAGATCTAGTGGTACAGGCAATCAGGTAAGTAACAGCATGTAACTTACTCATAGAACATTGAAATCTAAAACCACTTAGTTGATATTTACATAGCCTTAAATTGCACTATTTCACATAATGAAATTTCTTTTCTTTGAACTTAAACAGATTGACAAGGTATTTAATAATGGAACTGACCTTCTCACTAGTGGATCTGATAGTAAAGAGAATGAGATGTCATCAATACAGAGAAAGGTGTGCTTTGCTTTTTTTTTTGTAATTCTTTTTTTTTCCATCTGTCTAATCCAAAGGTGATAGGGTTTCAGAAAAAGAGCGTGTAAATAGGTACAATATTTAAAGCTTTAGTAGAAAAACCAACTGCTTTATATGGTCACATGAGAAGGTCCATGAAAAACATTCAGATCATATCCTTCAATTTACATGTAAGCCTTTCCTTGAATATATGTTTGTATGAGGTAGGCAGCAATTAGGATTATAAATTTGTGGTCATTTTCTTTCTCCTTAACTATAGATTTAAATGAAACTGAAATTTCACCACTGGATATAGGTAGGAAAAGCAAAATAGGGATCCTTATGATAAAATGACAAAGAGAAATGAAGATAAAGTGTAGAATTTTAAGTAGTAGTAGAGACTAACTTTTACTGTACCTTTCAAAGTTAAGTGAAAACAGTCAATATGTGGTTAAATACAAAAAGTAAAGGAAAAATGTAGCATAATATAAAATATAAGCAGTAATACAGTAAACATAAGCTTTAAGTATTGTAAAATTCTTTTTGTACTAATTATAGAAATGGCTGCCCAGAATCTATGTTTTATCATTTTTCTTTCTAGTTATCTGAATCCTTGCATTAATTTTAAAGTAAGGGGGAATGATTTAATTATTTCATCCTTCAGTATTAACAAAAGTGGAGTTAAAATCCTCAAAATACTCTTGAGCAGTTTTAAAATGAAATTCCCTTTTCAACTCCACAATCAATTGAATTTCTAGATCAAGTAAGTAACAATATAAAAACAAAAACTGTAAAGAACATTTTTTCTTACACCCAATATTAAGGAAGCAAAGCTAAAGTGGCTCTGCTGATATATCTGTTCTATTTGAAATATGGCCAAATTTCTCATTATGCTGCTCTTAATATTATATTTATTTGCTTGAAGTACTCTCTAGCAATATGGTAAATATAATAGTAGATTTCACTTATTGCCTTTCTCTTTTGTGTAAATAATTGTATTTACCACATATTATTAAAACAGCAGTGCTAGGATGAAATAAAAATATGAATGTCAGAATAAGCGTTTTTTGCAACTTACTACCAGTACTTTCCCTTGTAAAGGCCTCCCTTACTCTGGAAGAGAAGCAGAAGTTAGCTAAAGAACAAGAACAGGCACAGAAACTGAAAAGCCAGCAACCTCTTAAGCCCCAAGCAACTACAGTGACACCTCCAGTGAAGCAGGTGAGAGAGAACAAACAACTGCACTGTTTCCATTGGAGCTCTGATGCTTTTTCAAGAGCTGTATGCCTTTAGCATATTTTTCCTCCTGTGAGTCACTTTTGTTTTCTCTGGTGGTACAACGGCACAGCTGAGAAAAGCTAAATTAAATTTTTCATTTGCCATCCATTTGCATAATTAGCAATATTTCCACTTTTCAAATTGCCAGAGTTTCCAGGGGTGTCATTATTACAGGAAGGTCATAGTACTAGATAAAGAAAAAGGATATACTAAAAAAGGTTTTTCTCTGAAGAGTTTCTTAAGGAAATATATAAGATTTGGGGATAGGAATGGGGCATTTAAGCAAACAGTCACAGTAGTGCTTTGTGTGGAGTCTTAGATGTCAAATTAAAATTGCATAACAATTAGTTCTAAGTAGCAAAGAACACAAATAATGTAATTTCTCTTGTGTATTATTACATTTCGTGCACAATTCCATGCAGTGAATTTTAATTTCTGAAAAACTAATGCTGGATCTGCAGGGGTAACAATAAAATACTGTTGCCAGAGTGTCTGTACAGGAAAACCATTTAACTGCATTTTATGTATTTTGCAGACAAAAGACTTGACAGATACCTTGATAGATAATATGGCATCTTTGACCAGCCGTCCTATCAACCAAGCTCAAGCTGCATCTTCAAACAGCTTCTCTTCCGTTCCTTCTATGAGTGTTGGGATGGGATTTTCATCACCCATTGACAACACAAAGAGAAATATGACAAATGGACTAAACACAAATATGGGGTTTCAGACTGCTGGATTCACCATGGGAGCAGGTCTTGCCACTCAGAATTTCTTCAGTGGTCCAAGTGCAACAGGAGCAACCAAGATGAACATGGTACCACCTGCCAATATGCCAAATTACAGTCCTATGAATGCTGCATCTGCAGTCTCTCCACTGACACAACAAAACAGACCCCCAGACATGTCTGCTTTAGATAATCTTTTTGGTCCTCAAAAACCCAAAGTTAGCATGAAGCAGTTGGCTCAACAGAAATCAAGCCAGTGGGTCAATCAGTTTGTGCCACCTTCAGGGTCCCCAAATGCGAGCAGTACAGCCTTGGGACCTCAGATGAACATGCTAGCACAGCCAGGCTTTGGCATACAGGGTAATCCTTTCTTTTCCCCTCAGAACTTTGCACAACCAGCAAACACAATGACAAACAGCAGCTCAGCTAGCAATGACTTAAAAGATCTTTTTGGGTAAAATGATTTGTTTTCTTCCTTCAAAGAATGGTGAAATTTGGATCATGGGTAAGCTGATTAACATCTTGTTTTTATTAATAAAAGCATGACTTGGGGAAACTTTCAACCCAGCAAAGTAAAGACTTCTGGGCAGGAAAAAAGGCTGATGTTTCATTCACCTGGTACTGCAGTGGAATTGTGTGAGTGCAAAGTCATCTTACATGCTAAAGATTTCCTGTCTCTACCAACATGAGAGTGCTGAAGGTAGGATGCGTATATTCATCTGAAAAAGAAGTATATTGAAATTATTCAGAGCTGAACTCAGTCAAGTCCAGTGAAATTCCCTACAATATTTTGTTTAAGTTCAGCAAAAATGCTTATGGGGTATAATGCTGCTATTGGATGCAAACCTGGAGAATTACTCATGTTGCCTGAATTTGTCACAAGCTGTCATTTTGTTCTATGACAGTTTGCAAAAAGAAAATTCTTCTGCTGACCTAAAAATTTTGATAGCCAAATTATACAGAGAGCACTCTAACCCCTAACTAAGGGCGAGACTAAGAAGGGAGCATATTTTGACTTTCTTCTCTCATGTAAGCCAATGTAATGAATGTGGTAGTAAGATCTAACAAGATTCATCAGGCATAAGAAGTTGTTCTAAAACTTGGTTCAAGTTTGGGACAGAGGAAGAACACTGCTTCAAAGGTCATGCTGCTTTACAATCTCTTTTATAATGCCAGATCCTTGTTACAAGCCCCATAGCAAAGGCAGCATACCACTTAAGCAGGATTTTAAAACACATGTGGTGATTTCATCACATTTACTGTATATTCCATTGTTTTGGCTAGTATGATGCTGCTTCTAACTGATGTGAAAAAACCCTGTAGTTATGAAACCTCGAAAAATGAATGTAAATGTAAAATTCATGTTGACTGCCCCAACTGTGTAACTAAACACACATTACATAGTTACACAGAAATATCTTGAATTAATTAATAATTTTTGGCTCAATTGAGACAATGAAAAAGGATCACCTTATACAATTTGCACAGGGTTTTATGAAAAAGCAGACTGCCATAAATTGCCTTGACTAAGAGTGAACTATTTCATTTTACTTTTGATTTAAATCAAGTCCTTATGAAGGATAGATTGACATGAAGTGATTTCTCAAATACAGATTTGTAAGCTCTAGAGTGTATGATAAATACACAGGTATTTCAGATCCTTTTTATTGTATTACGTAAATTCAATAAAGGTCTCCAGAAATCCACATAGTGGTTTCTTCTGCTTCCAGAAGGTGTATGTTCAGCTTGCCCATGGTGGAATCTCTGCTCTGTCAGATACTACTGTTGAGTTTTAATTTCTTTTTCCCTAAGAATTTCAAGAGCTTTCTTACCTAGAATTTTGCAGACTATAAATGGTTATTTTGAGAAGGAAAGAACTAGTTACCTTTTTTATGGAAAGCCTACTTGCTTTATTTTTCAAAGCCTTTCACTGAAGAAACTCTTCTTTCATTTGCTGCTTAAGAAACCAAAGGGCCTTATGCTGTAAATATGACTTGTATTTTGTTATACTTCCACAGTTCTAAGCCGTGATAGCATTAAGCATATTTCTTAAAGAATTCTTTATGTATAATAGCTGCTGCGTTAGTCCTATCATTTTAAAATACCTGGGACCAATAAATCTGTGGTCTGGAAAACAATACCTAATACATTGTGATGCTTATGTGCTGTTAATATTCATGGTAAGCATTGTAGGTTATGTTAAAATATCCATGTAAATTGAAGTACAATACTAGAACTGTTGAACTATTTAAATTCATTTACAGTTGCTGGCACTCTATACTCTCAATCACACTCATGTCTTCTTTTATGTGTTTTGTTGGGTAACCTAAGGCAAGCCTTTGAAGAATTACTTGAATCTGTATTCCTCTAAATTATTAGGAAAATAGGTTTATATTAAAAACATCTCATAGGACTCTACAGTGTATTAAATTAATACATCTATGGCAAAGGCAGTCATAAAAGTCAGTGTCCTGATGTCTCTGGAGTGGGAGCTTTTCAGAACTGGATTTAGTTTAGCCTATTGCAGGGAAAGTAGAAAAAAAATGGTCTGATTTCATTTACTAGACCTCCTAAACTGTGTGGTTTGGGGTATGTGCTTTTGGCATGGGCTATGCCAGAACATATGCTGTTTCGTAAGAACAAAGTAAAAATAAATCCTACAGGTTCAAATTAAAATAAGCCCTTTTTTGAAGTGGTAATGCAATGGAATAAGGTCTTTGTCTGACTCAAGCAATAGGCCTTTTTTCATTTATATTTGAAAACATAACTTTGATTTCTCTTGTTTGCTGCAATTTTCAGAATGCCCAGAGTGGAAGAACAGCAAAGAAATCTGGAAAGGGTGCTTACAAATGCCCTAACAAAATATTCCAGTTATTTAATTATTTTTTTTTAAACTTAATAAAACAAAAGCAGTGAGTCCAGTCTCTTTTTCACATAGATGCTTCTTGTTTAGTGTGTCAGGAAACTCAGTGTGTTTGAAGTTCTCAAATGATTTCTTCTTAACTTAAAGGAAAGAGGACTTGCAAGAGGTAAGTCACCATGGCCACGTGCCACTTGGCTCCTGCTACAGTAGTTTTTCTTTAGGAATCCTTGGCCATCTGATCTCTCCACTTACAAGTTGTGGTTCTGAGGCCCTGCAAGAGGCTGGAAGACTTGTTTTGTGGCCAGAGTGAATTGTTTGAGAGCAGCAGTTGTGCTTCACATCCAAGTTGGTTTTTGGTAAAGACAAAGGGAAGGGACAATGTGGGTATTCCAGGAGCCTCCTGTGGCTGAACTTGGATGGAAAGCAGTGCTACATGTAGCTTGGCCTGAAGCAGAGGGTCTGCCTAGTCCTCATGTAAAGTAATGTGGAGAAAGAACAAAGGTTTGAAATTGGTACCTGGTTAAGAAACTACAAATGCTGTTAATGAAATTATAACCTGGTAATAAGTTATTCTCTACAATGCCTTGAGGAAGACAGTAAATTACACTAAATTTTTGCCCTTCATATTGAACCTAATTTAAAGGAAAAATGTGAAAGCCTGTCAGGTTGTATCATGACAGCAGCCACTCTGCACCCACTTGGGTCACCCACTGTCAGCATGTCTTCATTTACTGTGGAAATGAGGACAGGGTCTGGGCTGAAATGCCCTGCCCATCTAGTTTACATTGATTTGTAAAGGGAAGGGCATAAGTTCCTATTCTTTGAGGATTCATCTATATTTTGTTTTCTATCAAAGGAGAAGCTAAGTGAAAATAGCTGCACATCTTACATCAGTTGTGCTTTTCCTGCTCTGGTGTATGCTAAATGAATATGACTGCACCAAGACAGCAGTGTTTTCCATATTAGAGCTCTTGGTTCCATTTGGGTTTAAATATTAAAGTTTCAGAAGCATCCTCTCAAAACTCAGTCACAGAAAACAAACTAATCCTGGTAGAGGAAAGGATTGTAATAAAGAGGCTTGAAAAACCTCTACTTGGGCTGATGGAGAACCTTAAAACTACTGAGTTTCAGATTAGCTTAGAAGCCCCTAGTTCTGACTCTTGAGAGAAACCAGGAATGAAATGGCACAGGTGTCACTGGGGGAGGGAGCTGCTTCTGTTCCTTCTCATCACACAAGTGGTGTGACTAAGGCACAGAACAGCCCTTGGAGCTTGCTTATGCAGGAGGGCAGCAGTACCAGTGGAGGCTTTTGAGAGGCCAAAGTGTTACCAGTTATCTGGGAGATGGGGAGAGAAATTTACTGGGAGCATGGGTAGATCCTGGTTTGTTTTAATGAAGATACTTTGTTCTCCTCACTGTGAATAAGAAATGTTGTGGGGAAGTTGTGGCCTTACACAGGTGTTAAGTACCCCAAGCAAAAGGCTGAATTTTTGGATGTGTAGGTGCACAACATTTCAAGCCTTATTCTTTAAAACTTTCCTTTTCTGTTTCGTCTTTTTAGCAACAACTGGTTCACATTTATGTGGAACCTTAACAAATACCTTGATTGCCTTTTAAAGTAAGAAAAATGTATGTTGACTTTTGTATTATAACCTCTGTTGTAATGTTATCTGTATCTGTAGATAGATAAGTGTAATTATATTCTAGATTATAGGAGTTTTGGATTTTTCAGTTCAATTGCACCACAAAACCAGAGATTAAATGAGAACTTAAATTTGAATCAAATTCCATAAAGCTTCCATACAGGCTAAGAATTATATGATACTTGTGTTATCTATTATTAATAATACATGCCTAGTCTACCTACATCTGTGTGACTTAAGCAGAAAAGGAAAGTTTTTAAAACCTAAGTTTATGAACACTGGATCTTGCATTACTGGATCTTGCATTACAATGAAGTTTTTGGACTTTGGAGTGACCTTTGCTTATTGATTAAGGTCTTTTTATTGGGGTTGGGTGGGATATTGGTGATTTGTGCCATTTCCAATGAAAGAAGGGAGGGGAAGTACAGAAAAAAAATACCCTGCTGTATATGTAATCCTTCTTTTTCTTTGTTAAGAGATATGCTGCATTTTATATACTCATTGTGAACTTTTCCTTTGGAAATCTGTGAGGAAACCTATCTGGAGAATTTAAGATGAGTGAGCTGATTTTCAAGTGAGGTTCTGCCTTGTACATTACCTTCAATTAGGTTTTGACTGCTTTGAAAGAAAATGGCACAAGGCAGTAAAACCTTGGATTCATACACCAAATCCTCTTGCCTTTCAGGCCTCACCCTTGTATCAACATAACAAATGAGCCCTGAAGTTGTATTGTCTTCAAGTTCTCTGGAACAGGTCTAACTGCTGTACAGATTTCTGAGATGAAGCTGTAAATCAAAATGTGTTATAGTGAACTCAGGCCTTGTGCAAAATATTTAATACTTGTTTATTTGTCTAATTGTACAGTCTCTGTAGTAGTGGCAGTTTTATGTTCTGATTGTAAAACATTAAAATTCTCATGGGATTTATAGTGATATTGTTGTTGTGTCAGCCGTGATTCATAAATAGAACTGTCATAGCATGGCATTAGTGTATATCTGATTTATTGGACAGCTCTTCAAAACCAAAATTATTCTTGTATCAACTTTTAGATCAGTTACTTTAAAGCTATGTAAAAGGTACAGTGACAGTTTTGAGAAATACACATCACTTTGTACTCTGAATTAGGTTGCCTATGGAAATAAATGAATTTTCATATTTTCACGTTTGAAGATATTTTTATTGGTAATTTTCATTAAATTAACTAACAGTAACTTCTACAGAAGACTTTTTCCCCTGTACATTTTGTTTGAAATACAAACAAAATGTACTTCCCATGTACTTCTGAGTTTTATCCCATGTACTTCTGAGTTCATCTCTTAGAGATTGCTGTCCAGACATTTGTCAAATGCCATCACATATTGCCTTCATGCAGTGGATTAAAGTTCTGGGGGAAAACTGCCACACTAGATGCCTTT